CGCCCAGGCGTGCCTACCCGAGAGAGGGTGTTTCGGGGCAGCGGGGCTCCAGGGCAGCATCAGGAGGCGAGGGAGTTTGCGCGGGAGAGGCCAGCACGGGTTTGGGGTGCCCGGGAGTTGCTTGCGGCTGCTGCCGCTCTCAGGGGCAACGATGAGGGAGGGATAGGCATACAGTGCCGTTTTTAATACATGCTCCGCGTGCGGATCATGTATTAACCATACAGGGTTTTAGTATTAAAAACAACGATGAGTTCATGCATAAATTTATTCATGAATTAATCATGTATTTAAAATCCTATATGTTTTAAATCCTAAGTATGAAAAACTACCCTGTAGGGGGGATGCATCGACCCCAAGTCGCCAATGAATCGAGGGGTCTGAGAGCCCCCTCCGCCCAGGCCGGCGCCGGTTCGGGGTGCCTGGGAGCGGCCTGTGGTTGTTGCCGCTCTCCCAATAGGACCCACCTTCTCAGAGAGCAGGGAAGCTCTGATGAGGAGAATGCGCCCATGCCGCTGCTGTTCCCCCGTACTCTTATTTGTGTTTGGGACTTCTTTGGAGGCCCTCGTCGCCACCGCTGGATTCGTCTCGAAATTCTGGTCAGAACGCACACTGGGAGAGGTCGAGGAGTAGCTGTATTGGTACCTGTTGGTTTTCCCAGAAACCATCCTCATAATATGCACACCAGCAAGCGACGCTTTTTAGTGAACGCACCCAAGGACGGAATCGAGCAGGGCAGGGCTGTTTCGTAAACGCCCAGGGCATTTCTGTCAAGCCATGTATGAGGGTCGGGGCGTTCTTCCTTCGATTGAAAAAGAGAAAGCGGCAAACCATAAATTCTCAAAGCTTCGCGCGGATATCTCTGATCGGCGCTGGGCCCCCTTGGCGGCGCCTCTGGCGCTGCCCTTGGCAATCTCCGCGCGGCGCCAGAGCGGGGTGGATTTCAGCGCCGATCCAAAAAATCCGCACGATAGTCCGCAAAGTTATGTGTTTGAAGTTTTAGGTAGTTTTTGCGACCCTCTTTGGAAATTGGGTGAGAGGCCTCTTAGATGGCCGCTCTCGCCAGACGATCCTTCCTATTTCCCCCGCCTCCTCGTTTCCCCATCCCATCCTGCAGGTCTGCCGTGGTTGGGCTCGCCCAGACATCCGACGCCGTGATTTTTCATCGCGGCCCCACCAAAAAGGCCTGGACTCTCCTTGGGATCGGCTTCTCGTCCCGAGTCCTGTCCTGAACAGCCCGGGGCCCGTCAAGGGCCTCCGCAGGCTGAGGGTTTCCGAAAGCCTCCCGTCGCGATTTTTTCTCGCGGCGCGCGGGCGTCAGGCTGGTGGGCCTCCAGCTGGCCTGGGCCTCTCGCGCGGCGCAGAGGCCTGCGGAAGCGGGTCCAGTCTCGGCCCCAGGTGGAGCCATCGGAGGGGCCCAGCTGGGCTTGGCCCCTCAGGCGACGCCAAGTCCAGCTGGGGCGAGTCCAGTCAGAGGAGGAGGAGGAGGATGAGGGGGAGGAGGAGGAGGAGCAAGAGGAGGAGGAGGAGGAGGAGGAGGAGGAGGAGGAGCAAGACGAGGAGGAGGAGGAGGAGGAGGAGGAGGAGAAGAAAGAGGAGGAGGAGGAGGAGCCCTGAGGGGCTTCACTCATCTCGGGGGCAGCTGCCGAGCGTGCCCTGTCCTCAGAGCACGCTCGCCCTCCCAGGACCTTGTGCTGCTGGACGACCCCTTCGCCGCGCTCGACGCGCACACCTACCAGCACCTCTGCGAGAAGTACCTCCGCGGTGCCTCCGGGGGGGGGGGGGGGGGTCGCCGCGGGGGAAGCAGAACTTCACTCACTCCGTCCCTCCCTCGTCGCGTTCGTTGGCGTGCTCCATCGTTCCACGATCCGTCTGTTCCTTTTGCAACCCCCTCCTGTCTCACCACCAGGCGTGCCCATAGGCCAGCTTGGTCGTTTTGCTTGAGACTTCCTTGCAATCTGTGATCTTGGAGCTGAAGCAGCTCCACCAGCTACAAGGGTGGAGGGCGGGCCGTTTTCAAAGTGGGATTTCCACCTTAGCCTGCGCACATGTGTCGTTCGAGTCTCCAACAGTTATAAGGATGGAGGGCCGGCCATCTTCAAAATGCGTTTCTCGTCTTACCGCGGTGCACATTTGTTCCATCAGTCCCCAGCAATGGCAAGGATGGAGGTCTGGTTCGTTCTCAACGTGCCACTCTCGCCGCACCGCCGCTCACTTTCATTCAGCAAGTTTCCAATAGCTAAGCGTCGGCTCGGTTGCGACATGCGGCGATCGGTTGAGATTTCCTCATTCTCTGACCCGAACTTCCAATTTCACAACAGTTGCACATGGAGGGCGGCTAATTTTCAAAGTTGGGTTCTCGCTCGAGGCTGCGCACATTGTACGAGGCTGAAGGGCAGATTCTCAAAACGTGTACATAGAGGAGCATGTCTTTGAACACTGTCATCTTACATCATCATGGAGGATGGATATTTTCCATAACGGTGTCTCTATTGAGAGGCAGGCCCACCAGGTGATTGGTATTCAGGGGGCCGGTTCTTACTGTGGAATGGAATGCGGGAGATTTCTGAGGAGGGGACTTGGCACGGGAGGGTGTACTGCTGCATCGGTGGCGTATCCTGGGTCTACTGTGACCATCCTCCTCCATCTCTCTCTCTCTCACAGTTCTCACCTTCGCATCTGCACGCTGCAATGGACGAGCTCAGGGAATTCAGCCTTGCTTCAACGAGACGCGTTCCCGCAGGGAAGGGGGCAGGAAAGAGGTCTTGGTCTTGAGGGTTTCGGCTTCATGGTCTGGGGGATGGAGTTGGAGCTTGTGATGGGGCCAGATGTAGGCAGATGAGTGTACAGAGGCTCTGGAAGGAAATTCCGGAAGTCGCCCCTCCTCTTCTTGCTCGCCCCGCGTCCTCACGTTCCGTATGTTTGTTGTCTTTCGTGGTCTTCCCCTTTGGCATCGTTGTCCCCCACGTCTATCCTTCGGTTGTACAGCTTCACTCACGTCACAGGTATCCACCGTGTCCTCTTCTCCGTCGTCCTCCGGTTTCTCCTTTTCCGCCATTTGTTTTCCTTCCTCAGTCCGCCTGCTCCTGTCGCTGCTGCCGTTGCGTCCACCTGTTCCGCCCTGCAAGGGAGCCTCCCCGTGCCATCCGAGTTCGTTGTTTGTGGGAGGTCAATCCCCCCCAATGGCTTCGAAATGTAGTCTTCAAGTGGCTTACGCCATTCCGCCGACCCCTCTGAAGGACCGAGTGCTTGCGACGATCTTGGAGCTTATCCGATGGGTCAGGAGCTTCTTAGAATGCATTTGAGGAACTCGTGGGATGCCTCTCAATGGCCTCTTGGAGGACTCTTGGGGGCATCTTCTGGGGGGCCTCCTGGGGGCTTCTTGGGGACCTCTTGTGAGCCTCTTGGGGCCTCTTGTGAGCGCCTCGGGGCGTGTGGGGGTTCTTGAGGCCATCTCGGGGAGAAAGGCTCGAAATCTAAGTTGGTTTCCCGCTTTCTGTGCCCCTCTTAGAGCCACCCTCTTAGGGCTCTCTTGGGCCTTCCTCGCTCTGTCTGCGGCCGTCTTGGGGCCCTCTTGTGTTGTCTTTGGGCCCCCATCGGAGGCCTAAAGGGCCCTGTCGGGATTACCTCTGGGGCCCCTTGGGCCGTCTTGGACGCTGCCAAAACGAGAAAGGTGAATTTGCAACACATGCACGTTTCCCGCGGGAGTAGGGCGAGTGTTGACTTTGGCCCCTTCGGTTTCGAAATGTACTATTGCTGCTTGTTCTGCGAAAGTGCCGCGCAGTTGGACCTGGTGCTCTCCGTCTTACATACACACCAGCGTCGCATTCATGCCACTGCTGAATTCGTATCTCCCCCTCCGTCCTTTCCACCAGCCGAGCATCCCTATGAGCTAAAGACATGACGGACTGCAACACAGCGGCGCCTGGATATGGAATGCAAAGAGCTCGGGGCTGGAACACACACAAAGACAATTCATCACGTTTCGCGTATCCCCACGCTTTGACGCAGGGTACGACGCCTACAAGATGGACAGTGACCTAGGGCTCAACGTCCACTGGCCTTCGGTCAAGGACAAACACATGAAGCTCATGCACCGCGACTCCCGAGCGCACGCTCTACGAGATCACGACAGCAGCAGTACACCCGCCCCATGGATAGCAGAGGGCAGAACAGCCACTGCTGCAGCCGCTCATGACCGTTGGGCAGGCGCCATCGGCTCAGCCACCCCCGGCCAGTGGCAGAACTGGCAGGAGTGGAACTCCTGGGGCCATCAGAAAGCCCCATGGACGGACGCGAACTGGAAAGGAAAAGGTACCCCAGGGGGGACGACCGGTACACGGACAAGCGCGCCCGATGGTGGGCTAGGGAGGACTCTTATGCCCAGGGCTAGCAGAGCCCGGTCAACCTGTCAGCGCACCCCTGGCCTTCCAGGCCAGTGGCCTCCGTCTCCCTCACCACCTTCCACCCCCACGTTGGGGACTGTTTCACCTCGCAGCGCCCGGCCTTGGCCGTAATACATTGGGGCAACATCCGCTGGGGCGGGGGCCGCCCCACATTTCACCCAAGGCGCCGCTTAGCTAGACAGCCCACACTGGATACGTGGAACCATTCCTGACATTTCACCCCCCTGCTCATCAGGGGACCAGCCCGCTGGGCTGACCGGTCCCTGGACCACCCACTTTGCTGTCCTACGGCGACAGCCGCTCTCCCTCCGGTGGCAGGGGGACGTCGGCAGGAGCACCCCCCCCCTGCGCGCCACCCGCCTTTGCTGTCCAGCGGCGACAGCCACCCACCCTTCGGTGACAGGGGTACGTCGGCAGAAGCACCCCCCCCTGCGCGCCAGCCTACCAGCCTGTTGTTTCAGGCCTCAGTTTTGGCAGATTCCGCTCCAGCGGCGAGTAGCTGCGAATCCCCAGGGCCCACCCCCGGAGGCGCATCTCGCTGCTGGCCCACATTCCGCGTCGACTGAGGCCCTGGTGGGCCGTCACCCGCTCGCAGTGGACTGCGGCCTCGGTGGGCCATCGCCCGTTCGCACACATTCAACAGAGACCTCAGCGGCGATTAGCTGCGACCCTGACGATGTAAAATGGATCCTAGCAGCGATTAGCTGCGACCCCCCGTTCTTCCACGCAGGTGCCCGCGGCGAGTAGCTGCGACCCCCAGGGCGTTCCATGTGGCAGGCCGCGGCCCCTGGCCCACGGCTGCAGGGTAACTACCTGGCCGTGGGGCGAGGCGTTGCGTCCCCTCGCCTCTCCCCTCACAGGTTCGGTGGGCGTCCCCCACCCGTGGCTCCTGCTCGCACCGTGGTTCGCGCTGCTCGTAGTCCTTCTTGGCCCCTTCCAGCGGCAGTTTCCACGGCTTCGGGGTGACACCCGGTGTGTGTCGGCGCTAGGGCGCAGGGGCAGCGGCATGCGACAGTCTGGGTTGGCGGGCCACCTCAGCTTCACTGCAGCAGGACCCCCCTGGCAGGCAGCGCAGTCGTCACCACCACCAGTGCGCCGACCATCACCACCCGACGGCGGTGCTCCCCACGCCAGCGGATCTCTTCGCTTCAGGGATCGGCACCGTAGTTGCGCCTTGGGCACAGCCGCATGGTTCCCCTCGGCACTGGGGGGCGGATTGCTGAGGACTGGGCGTTGAGTGGTTCAGCCTTCAACGTCTGTGCAGCCTTTGGTTTTCCCTCTGTCGCGCGCTGTTTCTGGTTCCGGCCGCGCAGCCGTTCGGCTTGTGCAGGTCGGCCACGGAGTCTGGCGCCGCCCTGGCGACTCACTTCGTTGCATCCGCACATTCAACACGGCGGCCTGCACAATTTGGTTCGGGCTGCGGTGCCTAAGTGCGTTCGCCTTGAGAATTTAGTTCATTTTGTTCTGTGCGCGTGCAACTGCGAGCCTGTCTTGCAGGTGCGGGCTTTGTCCGCCGACTCTGGCTGGCGGCGAATTGTCTTGCAAATTAGCCCCGTGCCGAAACCCGGGCGCCGCTTCCGCCCCCTGTCCGTTGCCTCGGAGCCGCTGACCAAAAAAGTATCCCCACGCTCAAGCTTCATACCGCTGCCGGATGGTGCTCCGTCAGCTTGGAGCTCACGCAAAGTTTCACACTGGAAGTGGGCGGCGAGGTGCCCACTGGCTGCCTTAGGCTGGTGCCACCCCCTGCTGATGTCCGAAAAGGGTTCAGTGGGATTTCGATACACTGCTGACAGTTGCGGTGCAAGGACTTCGAGTTCGGGAAGTGTCGTGACGAACGCTCACTTTCCACAGGAGCTTATGTTGCCCAGTCAGGGTTGGCATAGCCACGGCTGGCACAGTCAGGTTTGGCATAGTCAGCTCGGGCAAAAGTGGCACAGCCACGATTGGCACAGTCAGCATCAACTGCTCGAGTATATGTTTCTTCCCCCCTCCTCGCACACCGAGCGCCTGGCGCGTGCACTTCCTTCCCTTCCCTCCTGCATCCTGATGCTGCAGCGACTAGCTGCCACACCGTGGTGCCTACCGTGCCTGGCGTGCACGTCCCCTCCTCTCCTCCTGCATCCTTGTGCCGCAGCGGTCAGCTGTTGCACCGGGGTGCTCTCCCTCCTGTTTCACAGGGTTCTTCTCTGGCGGCTGGGGTTTGCTGCCCAATACTGCTTCCTGATGGCGTTCAGGTTGTTTGGACTCACGCAGGGGTTCACACAGGGAATGGCTGCGTCGCACTCGCTGATGCCAGGTGCCCCCTGGCGTGCTCTTGGCTGGTGTCGGCCCCTACTGATGACCGGAAGGTTCCAATGGATTTTTCGCTACACTGCCTACCTTACGGTACCTGGACCTCGGGTTCGGCAAGTGTGGCTCTGTACGCTCGGTGGTCGACGTTCTCCTGTATGGACTTCGCTTTTGGACAAGTGTTACAGGTATTACTGCCGTTTGCAGTCTTGTCGGTGATGAGGTGGCCCCTCTTTACTTTTTCGCCGACGCGATGTTTTGGCATTTGTGTCGCCTACTTCACGGATGTCGTCTGGGTGTGCCTGTCGGTCTAGTTCGTCTCTGACGGTGCTGTTTGACTGAGTCACACCGAGCGATCGACCTTTGCGTGTTTATGGCCGCGCCGCCGCGCCGTTTTGGCTGCGATTACCTGCTGGTCGCCACCGGGATTTGCAACGTCCCCACGGGTTTGGGAAGGCCGGCTCTGGCTCTCGTTGTGAGTGGCTGCCCGCTCGCTAGTTTCGGTTGCCTTTCTGTTCCTGCTGCCTAGTCGCGGCCCGACTAGTGTTCGGAAGGCTTTCGACCCGCCTCGCGAGCCTGTTGACCAAAATTATCCCCACCAGCCCCCTCGGCGCCACTCGGCGGCAGTTTCGGCGGCCGTTGGTTCGCGCGCTTAGGTAATCAGGTTTGGCTCGTAGCCCTTGTTGACTTCGGACGCCGTGTGCGCTTGCGCTTACGGCCGCGACGAAAAAAATATCCCCACCAGCCCACTCAGACACGTTGCCCATGAGAGCTGACGGGAAAGTAGAAGAAGAGGCACATAGTGAAACAAAGCGGGCAAGGAGAGGAGGGGCTCTCTGAGGGACCCTCCTGGGGATTACGAATTGGAGGATGATAAGGAAGCGGACTTGGAGGAGGAGGCGGGGGATGAGGGGGACGACGACGAGGGCAAAAACGAGGACGGGGACGAGGACACCTTGGAGGACGAGGGGGAGGAGGAGGAGGAAGAGAACAATTAGGAGGAACGTAACGACGAAGGTGGGGACGAGGGCGAGGACAAGCACAACGAGGGTGAGAAAGAGGAGGAGGAAGAGGAGGAAGAGGAAGAGGACAACCAGGACAAGAGTTGTTTGAACCATCTTGGGGTTTTTACTTGGGGCACTCCTGGGATCGTCTTGGGGTTTGCTTTCGGTCTTGTGGTCCGCGTGTGGCTCTGTGAACTTGTCTTTGGGCCCCACCGGGGCTCTCATGGGAGCCCTGCAAAGCCTACCATCTTGTAGGGTGCCGATCAGAGGAAGAGGGGTGATCGATTTCTCTCCGCCCTTCTGGGACCTCTAAGGGCGCTGTTGGGCCGATCGTGGTCGCTCTTGGGACCGTTTTGGGGGGCCTCTCGGGCCCCCCCCTTGGGGGCTTCCTTGGGCCATCTTGGGGCGGTCTCGAGCGAGGCCTCAGAAGCTCACTGCAAGCGGAAAAAGGCGAGAAGACACACATCATGTTATTTCCCGGCGGTCTCTCATTGATTGTTGCCTCGTGTGGGGAGGGTCCAGGGGAGGCCCCGAGAGCACGTGGAACGTCTTGTGGCCCTCCATGGGCCTCTTTGAAGGCATGTTGGGAGTCATCTTGAGCCATCTTCGGCTATCTTGCGCCATCTTGGAGGCCATCTGGGGGCATCGGACGCCCTCATGAAGCCATCATGGGTGCCCTGACCGCTCGCGACCCCCCACAAAAACCTCAGGGAGGGGAGGGGAAGAGGGTACCCCTCCCCTAAGGGAAGAAGGTTTTGGAAGAGGAAAGAAGGACATCTTTAGACCACCTACGCCCAGAGGGCTGGTGGGATTCTCCCAGAGTGCTGCCACATCCGCGCATGGCAGCATCAGAAGGGCGGCTTGCTAGCTATCCCAGGCAGTGCTGCAACTCGAAGGGGGGCATCAACGTCAAATGGTGAGAGTTGCAGCATCAGCAGGGTAGGCGAAGGAGCGTAGACATGGAGAGGCTTCTGAGCCTTTGTGGGCCCCGGAAACGGCAGAGCTGTTTTTTCGCCGTTTCCAGCAAAATGTCCCTTGAAAATGGAAACGGCAACAAAAACGGCGACCGGAAACGGCAACAAAAACGGCTCCGGCATTGGAGCCGGAGCCGGAACCGGTCAAACAACGGCGACGGAGCCGGTAAAAAAACGGCGTCGGAACCGGCGAAAAAACGGCAGAACGGAACCTGTAACAAAAACGGCCCTGGCGTTTCCAGGGCCCACGAAGTTCTGAGCGCACTGGCGCCCGGAGTGGATCCTCAGGCCAGGCCCTCGGCGTGTTGCCAGCGGCGCGGGAGAGCTCGGACGTCGGAGGTTGCTCGCAGTAGTGCTCGCTTTGTGTGTGTGTGTGTTTGTGTGTGTGTGTGTGTGTGTGTGTGTGTGTGTGTGTGTGTGTGTGTGTGTGTGTGTGTGTGTGTGTGTGTGTGTGTGTGTGTGTGTGTGTGTGTGTGTGTGTGTGTGTGTGTGTGTGTGTGTGTGTGTGTGGGTGTGTGTGTGTGTGTGGGTGTGGGTGTGGGTGTGGGTGTGGGTGTGGGTGTGGGTGTGGTGTGGTGTGGGTGTGGGTGTGGTGTGGGTGTGGGTGTGTGGGTGTGTGGTGTGGGTGTGGTGTGGGTGTGTGTGGGTGTGGGTGTGGGTGTGGGTGGGTGGGTGGGTGGGTGGGTGGGTGGGGGGGCTGCTGCTTTCCTTTGCCTGCCGCTCCTGGCCACGGCCGCAATGGCCATGGCGGGATGGGACGGTGCCGATTGCGGTCGTTGTCTCGGGTCTGTGAGTCTCGTTCGTGTTTTTTTTTTTGCCTTCTCTCTCTCTCTCCCTCTCTCCCTCTCTCTCTCTCTCCCTCCCTCCCCTCTCTCTCTCCCTCTATCCTTCCTCCCCTCTTCAGCCACGACGCCAAAATACAGACCACTTCGGGCTCTGGACGGCCTCTGGTTCCCGGACCGCTCTCCAGGACCGCGCGGGGGGGGCCCGACTCGAAGAAGCCGAGGCTCGACGTGCCCACAACAGCCCCCTCCGTTCCGTATCCAGCGCTCCTCTGCCTGGCTGGTGGCACGACGACCGCGGGCTGTGACGCCCTTCGGCACCGCTCCTGCCCCGTGCACTTCGCTTCGGATGCAACTCCTGGGAGGTGAAATTCTGTTTTCGCCCTGGTCCGAAACCCAGCTAGGTCCGTCTTAATCCCGCCTAATCCGTTTTAATCCCGCCTAATTCCGCTTAATCCGGTTTAATCCTGCTTGGTCCGAGGCCCTTTTCCGACGTAACAGCTCCCAAATGGGGCTGAATCTTCTTTAATCTTTCCGAAGAAAACCTCCCAGTAGTAGCTTCCTAACCTCGCCACTCGCCCTGGGGTTGAGCGATGCGCTTTTGGATTCTCGCAGCCGCGTGCGCAGCTGCCACGGCCACCCGCGCATCCGACCCAGGCCCGCTCATGGAGGGGCGGACCCGCATTATCAGCTTCCAGGACGCGGCGCGGCGCGGCCAGAGGTGTGGGGGTGGCCATGATCTCTCCTGGTGTGTCAGATGTGTGCTTGTCGAGGCAAAAGGCGGCCCTCCCATGACATGTTTCGTGCCTTTTGTCGGGGCCTCCAGGAGGCTCCTCGTCGGCACGGCTGGATCCGTCTTGAAGCACGGGTCCGGATGGACCTTAGGAGAGGTCCAGGAGGACCGGGTTTGATCGGATTGGGGCCAGGCGGGAGACCTTTTCTTGGTCTCAGGTGGCCCTCCTCCGATCTACGAGTGTGGGAGGCTATTCCCTCGTAGTCGACCTGGTCCTCATAGATGCTTCGGCTCCTACGGCCATCATACTTCGGCTACCGGAGGGAGCGGCGTTGCTTGAGAGGACGGATGGGCAGAGTCCAGGCGGAGATGGCATTGTTGTAGTGCTCGGAGTCCGATGGAAGCCCTTCGAATTTCCATGGGAGCCGAGGGGTGTCATCAGAAGCCCGATCGGAGTCCAACGGGAGTCCCAGAGGATTTTTAGATGGGGGCCCGAGGTTTCCTCGAAGAGACTTATATGAGCCCGCTGGAATTCCCTCGGCGTTCTTCTGTTTTCTGGCGCCCTCCTTGTCTTCAGTTTGTGGATGGACAGAGCGATGGCTTTTTGACTGACCGACTGGCCGACCGACTGATTGCTTGATCGGTCGCGCCCGGAAGCAGGCCTTGTCTTTTTCCTGCTGCCGAGAGCGCGTCTCTCAGGAGGGGAAGAAACACACGGACACAATTAATCGTCGATTCCAGGAATATGTATATATATATATATATGTATATATAGATAAATACGTATATATATATATATATATATATATATAAATAGAGAAATTGTGGGAGAAGACGAACATCAAGGAAATATGAAACACATGTGGGAATCATGGGAGTAGTGTGTATTTGCTTAGGTGTCCCTGGGCCCCTCCGGTATCCGGGCGAAGCCGATCGCGGACCGTTGTTGGTGTGGTTGATTGCCGCGGGCGCGACCGACAGCAGGCCGTTTCTAGCCTTTTGCGCCTCGTGGCGCCACGTCCAGATTTGCAAAAAGTGCCGGGGTCCCTCCCGGGCCCTGTTGTCAGAGAGCGTCGACGGGAAAGCCCGCGCGGGCTTGATGCTGTTGAGGCCAGCCAGCCCTTTCCGCGTCAGCTGGACATCCGCATGTTCGTTGCATGTTCACACTTCGGTCTCATCGGAACAGAGACTGATGGTGTTGAGGCCAGCCCTTTCCGTGTTAGGTGACCGCGCAAGAAACCACCGCAACCGGAAGTTATGGATGTTTCTTTAAAATGTTTTTTTGGTGGTTGTTCTGTTGTCGCGGTTACTGTTGGCACGTGCTTCGATTTCACATGTATCGCGTTCTCGTGGGGTTGCTTCATTGCCACTTGCAGAGCGTCTCCCGCAGACCTTCCCTTCGACGTGCTGGCGCGAGACCGAGTGGCGTGCCTGCGCGGCGCGGCCTGTTTAACACGACGCGCGTGCGCGCAGTTCAGAGGAGTTTACATTCGTAGCCGCTTGATTGTTGCGGCACCGCGCCATATTTTTTGCGCGGCGCGTAACGCTCTTTTCGGATGCCATGTGCGCGTGCTTTGCATGGGCGGATCGCCTCGGCGCAGCGATGCTTCGCGCGGCGTGGTTCGGCCGCTCTTGCGCGATGATGCGCCCGTGTGCGCGTGTGTTGTCAGAGCGGCTCTGCGTGACGGCGTGTCCAGTAGCGATTACCGTGCCGTTAAGTTTGTTCCTCGTGGGCACGCGGCCCCCCCGGCCCTTTTCCCTTCTTCGCGGCACGCCAAATTGTTGGAGTGTCTATAAGTTTGTTTCGTTGGGCGCTTGCGCATGTGATTTTTTTGTGAGCATTGTTCATTTGTTGTCCACCTTTCGCGCGACCTCTTCTGGTTGCTTTTCCCCCTCGTCCACTCGCATTCTGTTTTGATGGTGTTTTATTGCGCACGTCTCAAAGTGGAGGGCCCGGTCCGCTCGTGGAGGGCGCGACATTGTTGTCAAATCATACGCGTCGCGCGGTTGTGGTAGAAACCACGGCGCGTGCGTCATGCCGATCTGTTCGCGGCAAGTCCCGCGCACCGCGACCGCGCAGCACTCGGCGTGGCGAGTCTTCGAGCACCGCCACGAAAGCCATAACGCGCGACATGTCGTCGCCCATAGCCTTGCAAGGGCCGCAACATGTGACGCGCTCTTCCGCGCCGCTTTCGGGCGCACTCCTTCGTCTACGTCGTCGCCCTCCCCCTTCCCACGTCCCCCATGTTGTCACCCTCCCTTCTTCCATTTCGTTCTCCTTGTCGCATTATTGCGTCTCCTGGGGTTCTCACGTGGCACACATGACAACATGTGGTACGTCATGGGTTACTGTCGGGTTGTCATGGGGGCCTCCTGGGACACTCTTGAGTCGTAGATGGGGCTACCTGGGACATTAGGGGCCCTCTTGGGCCGTCGTGAGTTGCCTGGGGGGTATCTTGGTGCCGTCTTGGGCCGCGTTCGCCTCCATGCTGGTTTTCTTGCTTTGCCTGGGTTGGGTCTTCAGTTACCCCCAACCCCACTAGGTCTGGTACCAGACCTCCCTTCCACCTCCAACAGGTCTGGTGGGATGCCCCCCTTCCACGTCGACCAGACCTCCCAGCGGGCCCTCCTCCGGCGAGGTGGAGGGGGCCTCCACCAGACTTCCTCTGGTTCTCCTGGATACCTCCCCCTGATCCCCCCGAGGGCCTGGGGAGGCCTTCCGGAGACTTCCCTTGGTTTCCACAAGGTGTGGCGAGAGGCTTCCCGCGGCCCCTGGGAACACCAGGCGAGGCCTCCCCCAGGCTTCCGGGACGACCAGGGGAGGTCTCTGGGAGGCTTCCCCTGGTTCACCTGGAAGCCTCCGATGAGAGTTCCCGCAGGGGGGGGGTCTCCTGTGGGAGGCTTTCGGGAGGACCAGGGGAAGCTTCCAGGAGACCTCACCTGTCCTCCACCAAGTTTCCCCCCAGCGCCCCGGGAGGACCAGGGGGGGTTTCCAGGGGGCCTCCCCTGGTCTCCCCGGAAGTTTCCCCTTGGAGGGAGCCCTGCCAGATTTCGAGGTCTGGGGGAGGCTCCCGGACCCTGGTCCTCGGGGAGGATTCCCAGCAGGCTTGCAAGGACCAGAAAAAGCTTCTGGGAGACCTCCCGGCCCCCTTCTGGAAGTTTGCGGGAGGCCCCCAAGAGGACCAGGGGAGGTCCCCCGGCGGTCTCCCCCCAGATTCCAGGAGGTCGTCAGGACACCGCTAGGAGGCTTACTCTTCGGGGCCCTGAGGCCAGTGGATCACCGGATGCAGTGCAGCTACGGTGGCGACGGCAGCAGAGTCGCGTTCAGCCTCGGCGAAATATTTGCCGCGCGTTTCCAAGCTGGGTGGCTGGTTGGGGGCCTCCGACGGCCACGCCGGGACGTTTGAACTTTGGGTCTTTCCGCTCCAAGAAAACATGGTGGACGTAAGGAAACTTCTGGTTCCTTAATAAATGCCCCCCGGGGGGCCTCGATGGTCCCAAAGTGCGAGACATCTGTCGATCCACCAAATTTAATAAGGAATTCCCGGGGTCCCAAGTGAGGTCCTTACTTGGGTGTCTGGCGGTCCCAGGATTCAGGGCCTTACTTGGGTCCTCGGCAGTCACAGGTCCCACAGGTTCCACAGGTCCCACGTGTCCCAGATGTCCCACAGGTCCCATAGGTCCCACGGGTCCCGCAGGTCTCGAAGGTCTCGCCGGTCCCGCAGGTCCCGCAGGTCCCGCAGGTCCCACAGGCCGCACAGGTGCCACAGGTGCCACAGGTCCCGGAGGTCCCGCAGGTCCCGCAGGTCCCACAGGTCCCACAGGTCCCTCAGGCCCAACAGATCCCACCGGTCCCAAGGTCTTGCAGGTGTCACAGGTCCCGCAGGTCCCACAGGTCCCACAGGTCCTACAGGTCTTACAGGTCCCACAGGACCCACAAGTCGCAAAGAAGGTGCCAAAGGTCCCACAGGTCTCGCAGGTCCTACAGGTCCCACACGTCCCACAGGTCCCAAGGGTCCCACAGGCCTCGCGGGCCCCACAGGTCCCACAGGCCCCACAGGTCCCACATGTTTCACATGTCCCATAGGTTCCACAGGTTCCGCAGGTCCCGCGTGTCGCGCAGGTCTCGCAGGTCCCGCAGGCCCCGCAGGCCCCGCAGGTCCCGCAGGTCCCACTGGGTCCCACAGGTCCCACAGGTCCTACAGGTCCCACAAGCCCCACAGGTCCCGCAGGCCCCACAGGATCCACAGGGTCCGTAGGTCCCACAGGTCTCGCAGGTCGCGCAGGACCCGCCAGTCCCGCATACTCCATAGGCCCCGCAGGCCCCGCAGGTCCCACAGGTCCCACATGCAGGTCCCGCACGTCCCACATGTTCCGCAGGCCCCACGGGTCTTACAGGTTTTAAAGGTCTCGCAGGTCCCGCATGTCCCGCAATTCCCACAGGTCCCGTAGGTCCCAGAGGACCCATAGGTCCAACAGGTCCCACAGGACCCGCAGGTCCCGCAGGTCCGCAGGTGCCACAGGTCCCACAGGTATGAATGACCCCACAGGTTTCACAGGTTCTCGCAGGTCCACCGGTCGCACATGTCCCGCAGGTCCCGCAGCTCTCACAGGTCCCACAGGTTCCGCAGGTCTCCCAGGTCCCTCAGGTCCCACAGGTCCCACAGGCCCCCCGGGTCCCACAGGTCCCGCAGGTCCGACAGGTCCCGCCGCCAGCACAGGTCCCACGAGTCCCACAAGTCCCGCAGGTCGCGCAGGTCCCACAAATCCCGCAGGCCCAGCATATCCCACATGTCCCACAAGTCCCACATGCCCCACATGTCCCACAGGTCCTACAAGTCCCGCAAGCCCCGCAGGCCTCGTAGGTCTGGCAAGTCCCGCAGGCCCCGCAAGTCCCAGTCCCCCCAGGTCCCACATGCCCCGAAGGCCCCACAGGTCCCACAGGCCCGATAGGGCTTACAGGTCCTACAAGGGCCACGGGGTCCGCAGGTCCCGCAGGTTCCGCAGGACCCGCAGGTCCCACAGGTTTCGCAGGTCGCGCAGGTCCCGCATGTCCCACACGTCCCACAGGCGACGCATGCCCCACAGGCCCCTCAGGCCCTACAGGTCCCACAGGCCCCACAGGTCCACCCAGCCCCTCCGGTCCCACAGGTCCCACAGGTCCCACATGTCGCGCCGGTCCCGCAGGCCCCGCAAGTTCCGCAGGTCCCACGGGGCCTACAGGTGCCACAGGCGCCACAGGTCCCACTGGTATCGCAGGTCCTGCAGGTCCCACAGGTCCTACGAGTCCCTCAGGTCCTACAGGTCCGACAGGTCAGGCAGGTGTCGCAGGTGGCGCAAGCCCCGCAGGTCCCACAGGTCCCACAGGTCTCGCAGGGACGACAAGTTTTGCAATTTCGAAGGCCCCACAGGTCCCACCAGGCCCACGCGTCCCACAGGTCCCAAGGGTCCCACAGGTCTCGCAGGTCCCTCAGGTCCCACAGCTACCGCAGCCCGCACAGCTCCCACAAGTTCCACAGGGCTCACGCTCCCAACATTTCTCCCAATTCCGGCAGGTTCCACAGGTCCCGCAGGTCCCACAGGTCACCTTTGGTGTTATTAAGATGGTTCCTGGGGTGATGTTTGCAAGGCGAAGGCGCGTGTAATTGCATGCGCTGCGCGCAGTGCAGAGTGAACCGTGAGTGCAAGTGCGAACCGCTGCCATGTAAATTTGGGGTTGCGCCCGTCCTGGAATCTTTTTGTGAACTTGCGGTTGCGGTGGTTTCCATCGTGGTCATTAGGGATCGAAGAAGGGGATAATCGCCACAAACATAAACCGCCGCCGGGGGGGCCCAGCGCGGATCGAAGAAATCCGCGCGGAGCGCCAAACGTTTTTTTGATGGTGCCGTTTTTCCTTTTTTCTCTAAGTTAGACATCCGCATTGTCGTTTCATGTTCACAGTGCGGCTTCATCGGAACAGTTACGTGGCGCCGTGCACAAAATGCGGCGCACATGTACTTGAATTGAGAGGATGGAGAAGTTGTTGCAAGACGCTCTGAGATGGCAGGCTCTTACAGCAGTCTGCACGGCTTGAGTTAGCGAGGGCGTTGTCAGTAGTTGCCTGGCGGGCGACGTAGGAGAGGAGTTGTTGACGTGTTGGACTGAAGTGATACACGTTGTCCACAGCCGAGTCCTCCTCTTCTTGCCTCATCGCTCCTGCTCCCCCTCCTGGTCCTCCTTTTCCTTTCCTTCCTTTCCTCCTCCATGTGGAAGGCGTTCTGGGGACTTCTTGCATGGTGGTCCAGGGCGTCGAGGAGGCATTTCGGGTGTGTTATGGGTTCTTTTTGGCGGCCTTTTGGGGACTCTCTGGGTGCGGGTATCTTGAGGGCCTCCGGCGGCATCTTGGTTTTTGTTTGGCGTGTTGGGGGCTTGGGGGCCCTCTTACACGGGAAAGGTTTCAATGCAGGCTTGAGTTCACCATTTGGGGCCCCTGTTGGACCGTTTTGCAGGCCTTTTGGGCCGTGTCGGAGCCTTTTGGGGTCATCTTGGGGCCCTGTTGGTGGCTTCGTTGGGTCGACATGGGGTGGTTTTTGGGGCCTCTGTGGCCTCGCGAGCGTCTGCTCGGGGCCTGTCTTTTGTGGGCCGTTCGGGCCATCAGGAGGCCATGCTGGGCCGTTTGGGTGCCGTCACATTCGGGCCGACACACGGGCCGTTGTTGGTCATGTGGAAGGCAGTGAAAGAGCCAGTCATACTTCCAATGATCCCCCAGGACCCCAAACCAAATGAAACTCGTGGGGGTTGTCGGTGGCAGCGCAGGGCGAGGCTTGGAAACGTCAGTGGCGCAGCAGCTTCGGAAATGCAGTTTGGAAGGTGAATTCAGTGGTGATCGTGAAAAAAAGACGAAAGACACTAATACGAACCAGATGACAAAATGTACAAACAAATGTACAGAGCGACGAAAATGAACATTACCATCCAGGAGTGACTCCGCCCGAACACGCGCCCATCTCCCGGACGCGTCTTGGAGTCCAGACGTGGCTGTGGAAGCGGTTGCACCTGCTGCCGCCTGCCCCCCAAGGCTGAGCCATCTTGTGGCTCTACTGGAAGCGCGCTGGGGTCATCCTGTAGTTTCTGTTGGGCGGCATCTCGAGGCCTCCTCGGGCCACGAGCAGGCCAGACTGGGAATTTGTGACAGTATCATGATGCTCCCGTGGTCCACCCAGAGGGCTTGGGGCCATCCTCGGGGACTCGCTGGCCCAACGGAGGCGATTTGTCCGGGGCTCCGTGGGGCCACATCGTGGCCGTCATGGCTTGGGCATCTGGGGGGTGCTGGGGGTGCGTTCTTGCGGTCTCTTCGTGTCCTCGTGGGCCACTTGGACCTTTTTTGGCCGCGCGATGGCGCCCCTCGGGAAATCAGGGTAACTTATAGCGGTCGCGAAGTTAAAGGCCCTCCGGGCAACCCCCACGACGCGTGTTTTCGTCTACGCCGCGAGTCCGTTTGAAAGACATCTGAAAAGGGGACAGGCGTGGAGAAACAAACATCCACGTACGATCCGGATGAAGCCAGACAGCAGCCGAGATGCAACCTTCACAGCCTGGCGCCCCCGAAGGGGGCCAGCGGATGTTCGGCGGTTGGTGGCGCAATTATTGGCGCAACTCGCAAAATCTAGTTTCGTTTTGCAGCCGGGGCGAGACCTATGTGGCAACCTGTGGCGCATGGGTTGCGTAACCAATGGAAGGCGCAACTCTTGGGAAAGCGTATTCTATGGCGCAACCCATGGCCGGACGCGACGTGGAGGGTCGCGGACACAGTCAGATGGGCGGAGAAGATAGAGGGAACGGCGGCGGACAGATGCCAGCCGGGGGATCTGATGGCAGCGCGAATTTCAATGAGGGAGATGGGGTCGGGGAGTAAGGATGGCGGGGGCGAGGTGATGCGAGATGGACGACGTAAGAGACGAATAGAGTGAGAGAGAGAGAGATAGGGGAAAAAGAAAGCAAAGAAACGTGAGTCACTACAAGGGGGTGAGCTGGAGAACGACGAGGATGAGGACGAGGACAAGGACGAGGACGACGACACTGACCCCGACGACGAGGCCGATGCCGACGAGACCTGGCCGACAGGACCCACAGTGGTCTCAGGATGGAAGGGACCACGCTCGACTTATGCTCGCCGTTTGGGCTGCCCGTGGGACCCAATCGGCGAGCTGTCTTGTGATAGGGCTCCTGCAAGAAGACGTCCTGCAGGATTCTCGTCGAGTTCCACAGGTTTCGTGGGGGTCTTCTGCTCCAGTGCGTTGCGTGGCGGAGTGGTGGGGGTCACGTGGCGCCAGGACGGGTGTTCATACGTCTAGACAAAAATTGGTCTGGGACCCCGTGGTACTGGAACTCTACGTGGCCCCAGACATTGTTCGTTCTGGTAGTTGCAGTTGCAGAAGCAGCTGCAATTGTGCTCAGGTTTGTTCCGCCACGATCGCAGCTTCAGCGGGTTCGTCGGGAATGGCAGTAGATGCAGTTTTGCGCTTGTGGTCGCAGCGTCTCTGCTGGTAGTTGGGCGGATGCAGCAGCAGCAGCAGAAGCAGCAGCAGCAGCAGCAGTTGCAGACCCCGACACCCGACGATGGTTTTCAATCCGCGGCCCAACAGGTCCCGACCGCTTCTCCGGGGATAGCTTTCCGCTTCGGATCCGTTTTTCATGGCCCCGGGGCTCCGAACACGCGGCACAAGGGCAGAACTCAACGGAAAAGCCACCGGGATTCACCAAATCGCATCGTCGGAGATGTGGATCCTGAAATCTAAACAGAACGAACGCCAAGAGTTCCCGGGGTCAGTACACGCGCCCCGAGGGCAGAATTCCAGGGCAAACCCGCCGGTGATGAAATACAATACCCCAAATCAGATCGGTGTTATTTCACTTCTGCCGGTGCTTTTTCACTTCTGCCCATGGCCGAGGTTCTAAGCAGCGGATGCTCGGGTCAGCCTTTTTGACAGCCACGCGGCCCACTCTCCCTCCTCGTCCTCGTCCTTCTCCCCCATCCTCCCTGAATGTGGTGACGCTCACCCGGCCGGCCAATTTACAGCCCTGCCGCGAGCGAGTCCTATGTTGGTGCGGTTATAGCCCCCTTGAGGGGAAGCGGATTTGACGCTCAATCGAATCTATATATACATCTATATATATACATACATATACATATACACCCCAAATCAGATCGTCTGAGATCTGGGGAGAGGTGGCAGCACTTGCCGCCTGCCGCGGCAGATGCCTCGGGGTTCGCGGCGTCCGCCGCGCGCTGGGCCCCCCACCGACGACGGCCCCCGCCAGCGCGCTTGCGCGCCGGGCCGCGCGTCTCCGCCGCGCCGCGCCAGCCCGACAGCGAGCGCCTGCAGACCTTCGACTGGATAGTGGTGCTGGACAAGGGCCGCGTGGCCGTGCAAGGCGCGCGCGCGGCGTCCCCGCTCCGTGTGGGCCTTTGGCATCTTCGCGCCCGCCGTGGCCAGACATCGCGACGGGAGGTGTTTGGCCCCTCGTGGCCTCTGGGGGGGCCCTTGCCAGGCCCTGGGGCCGACGAGAAACGACTCGGGATGGAGAGCCGTTCCCTGGGCGGGGGGGCAGACATCCGTGGAGCCGCGTTGTGGAGAAAACGCGACGTCGGATGGCGGGATCACCCCTTCTGCGGGCATGGTGTCCGTTTGACCCCCTGGTCGTTCGTGGAACGACGTTTCCTGAAGTCGCCGTTCTCCCCCCGTCTCCCCTCCTCTTCGGCCCAGTAGTTGGCCGAGGAATCTTGTCTGGTCACTCGGGCATTCCATTGCAATTTCAAGCGCAAAGTTGGAGATCGCAGAGACTCTCGAGGAGTATTGATGCAGTATAGAGTCGCCGTTTCGGCATAAGGAAACAGCATCGAACTACGACTCATTAAGAAAGACGCAGTATAGAACCGCGACTTTGGTAGGAACCGGGCAACGACATAGAACTGGGAGGGGAACAAGGATCGCACTTTTTGACAAGTGGACGCAACATACCATCGCAACCTACCATGAAGGAATCAGTACAGAACCGCGACTTGGGTAGGAATCGAATCAGGGTCACTTAGCTGGAATGAGGAAGCATGATACATCTGCGAATTAGGAAAAGTGAAGCAGCATTGAACCGCGACTTGGTCATACATTGAGAACCGACTCAAAATTGTGGGGTCGTGGGGGGGGGTGAGGGTGGCGATTCAGGATTAAAGACAACATGGAACTGCGGCTTAGGAATTGGGCAACAGGAAAGAAACGTGACTCTGGTTTGGGCCGGGAAGCGCGCATGATCGTGGCGAGGTTGGGCCGCGATTTGTGAGGGAGGAGGCAGCAAACAAACATTATTTAGGAACAAGAAAGCAGTATACAGCCAGGTTAGCATTGCTGAATCGCGATTCAAAATAAGCAAGCAGTGCGGAACCACGACTTGGGGAGAAATCGAGAAACGACACAGTTGTTGGGGGAGAGGGGGGCAGGGTCGCGACTTGGTAATACAGAAACTTCATGGAACGTGCGACTCAAGATGTTCCCTGATTCATAACAAAACCGAGGCTTGCAGTGTTATTAGTTTTACGTTGCGGTTCTGTGCTGTTTCTGTTTGCCTCAGTCGCGACCCGACCCCCCCCTTCTGTTGTGCATCGTTTCTCGATTCCCCGAAGTCGCGGTTCTGGATTGCTTCTGTATGCTTGAGCCGCGATTTTTTTCTGGTGTTTTATTCCTAAGTCGCGACTAGGACACCCCTCCCCAACAGTTGTGTGTCCTTTCCCGATGTCTACCCACGTCGCGGTTTTATGTTGTTTCCGTTTTTCAAGTTGCGATTGTTTCGTGTTTTTTGTGTTTCTAAGTCGCGACATTGTTCCCCCACCCCCCACCCTTCCCCCCAGTTCCGCAACGGTTCCCGAATCTTGAGCATTTCGAGTTGTTTCAAAGTTAATCTTTCTTCGTTCCTCAAACGCGACCTTAACATCCCCCCTCAAGTGTTGTGTCGTTTCTCGGATCTTACCAAGTTGCGGCTGTATATCGTTTTTGGGGGTATTCCTAAGTCGCGGCTTTGTTTCCCCCAAGTTCTGTGCTTGTTCACTAATTCTACCACATTCGCAGTTCCATGTGTTGTTTCTTCATTCGCCAGTGTCGGCTGTAATCCTAAGTCGCGACGCTACCCCCCCGTCAGTATTGTGTCGCTTCGCGGGTGCTGCTTGAGCCGCGATTGTATACGGCTTTGTTTTGTTGAAACAGGATTATGTGTGGTTTCCTTATGATTTGGTCCTAAGGCGAGACTCTCCATATACTGTTTCCCTATGCCCAATTCGCGATCCTACATAGTTTCCTTTCTCTGAAGTAGCTCTTCTGTGCTGCTGTCCCAACCCTAGGTCTGAGTTAATGCTCCCTTAATATTTAAGCAGAGACTATATCCGTATGTGAAGATCCTTGTTCGCAAACCGCTTTTATGTCATGTTTCCTTGTGCCTAGCGTTCAATCGCAGTTGTGCGCTGGCTCCTGATCCCTAAGCCCTGTATTTGCCGCGTCCTTATGTTTAAGTTGCGATTCTTCCTTGTTTTCTTACTCCTAAATCGCGCTGCACCAAAAGGCGCGGGATCGCTTAAGCCCGCCCAGCGCCGTCCCGCTTCGTCTTTCGCAGCTTGCGCGGACGGGCGCGCGCGTTCGGTTGTTCATTTAGCGGGTACTGAAGTCCACTGCTACCTACCACCTACCCCTTGCCCCTTGGGGAATTGCGCCGCGCGTTCATTGGCCCCGACTGCCTAAGGCAAGCCGGCCGCCCCTTCTCCCCAACCCATCCTGTGATTTCCCGCAATCAGGATCAAAAATTGCTCACTATGGCTCCCACCTTTCCCCCCATACGTGGCCACTCAATCACTTGCATGTGCGTCGCTTTTCAAGGTGCGCGCGTTGCTCATCCGCTTGTTTATGCAAGATGATTGTATTTGCTCGGCAGCAGCACGTTGATGGGGACGCCCTACCCGCATGACACGGATGCTGTTATTTCTTTCTCATTTTTTGCCGTCAAATCACCCGAATAGCGGTGTTTGTCTTCGGAGAGTGGCTCAGGATGCGTCGGATCTTTCCGCAGATTTGTCTTCAGCTCCCTTCGTGAGCGTAGGCGCAGTCGGAGCCAGAAGTGGCCTCGTCTCATAATCCAGGATCCTCGTACTAGGCTGCTTGGACGTTGGCTGCACCGTGCATCCTGGATCTTTTGCGTTCGACAGGAACGACAGGCGATCGAGCGGGGCTGGGACAGAGACTCGGTCCCAGAGCGTTCCGGAGCTCGGGTCGGGCGAAAGTGGGGGATTGGGAAAGGGGGGGTTACGAAATTTGCTGCATGCAGCTGGTTTCGGCCTCACCGAGGAGCCCATTCCTCGATACATTGCCGCCTCCGGCGCCGGGAGGCGCCGGGAAAATCAGTCACGTGAGCTGATTCTCAAACCCCCCCTTTGCTATCCCCCCCTTTCGCCCGACCCGAGGAGCGCTCTCAGAGCGTCCCCGAACGCTCTGAGGAAGACTGCGGCGCTCGACACGCCGTCCAGGTCGGGCGGGGCCAGGGCGAGGATCAATCCGCTCCAGGGCGTTCCGGAACGCTCTCGGAGCGAACCCGAAGTCTTTCAGGAAGGGAAAAAACACACAGACACAATTATTCGTCGACTCCCAGAGAAAGATAGGAGAATATGGGAATTGGGTGGGAAGACAAGAACCCAGAAGATATGGGAAAATACGGGGAATCGTTTTATTTGTGTGTCTTTAGTTGTGTGTCCTTGGGCCCCGTGAGTCTCTGAGAAGACTGCGGCGCTCGACGCGTATCCCAGAGCCGCCTGATCTCTCAGAGACGCTCCGTTCGTCCTCCGAGGTTGTCTTCGTCTTGGCTTCGTCTTTGCAGAGGGAGGAGCGGGGAGGCGGAGGGCGGGGGGGGGAGAAGGGAGGAAACAAGGAAGAGCGGGTCGGAGGGAAAGAGAAGGGACAGGGAGCACGGAGGAGAGGGAGGAGGAGAGAAGGAGGAAGAGGAGGAGGAGGAGGAGAAGGAGGAGGAGGAGGAGGGCATTGCTCCCGTGGACGACTGCGATGCCCAGGCATCGAGCGCCGCCCGAGTCTGTTCGAGACGTGCCAGGAGGGAAACATAGGCACACAGCCACAAATGATCGCCCATTCCTTACAAAATACGGGAGCATGCGGGAAGTGGAGGGAAGACGAAATTACAGACAGTACCATGTAAAGATATCGGGGGGGGGGTCGAGTACGTGTCTCTTTGCTTTGTGTCTCCCTGGGCCCTTTGAGGTGCGTCCCCGAATCTCTCGACGCCTTCACCGGGGCCGCGTTGCATCCCCGCTGGGACTCCGGACGGCCCCGGAGGCCGAAGGAGCGCCTGCCTGCCGAGGCCCCACGAGAATGCCTTCGGAGACCTGGGCGCCTCGGTCGCACCGTCGAGCCGCCGGGCGTCCGGGCCCAGGAGGCGGCGGAGAGTGCACGGGGAGAGCCGCACCTGGGCCTCCCAGATCTTGGCGTCGCTCGGACGTGTGCATTTTTCCTTCGGCGAGGGCCATCGAGGAGCATCCTCGATCATTTGGCGCAGAAGACCACGCACGAAACCGAAAAAAGCACAGGGAATGGACGTCCGAGCGATGGCCAGAGATGCGGTCCGAGTAGAAGGATGGGGTCCTGGGCCTCCCAGATGGGGTCCTGGGCCCCCAGATGGGGTCCGAGCAGATGGGGAGAACCGTACCTGGGCCTAAGTCGGGCCTGTCCCTCTACAGGGGGGGAGTACTCAGAAATAGTCGAAAAATGCTCTGGGGGCAATTTTTCCAGCATGTGTTTGTATTTGTTTGAGCATTTTATGAGTATGTTTTATGTTTCGTCGAGAATCCCCCTGTTGGGGGACACGCCCGACTTAAACCTAGGCCTTCCAGCTGGGGTCCGAGTAGGTGGGGTCGAATGATCGCGCCGCATCGCCGTGGCCTCGGCGATGCGGTCCGATGTGGAGCCCGATTTTCTCCGCGGCGACGTCGCCGATGCATCGCCGATGCATCGCCGATGCATCGGCGATGCATCGGCGGCGGAGGAGGAGGAGGAGGAGGAGGAGGAGGAGGAGGAGGAGGAGGAGGGCAGGCAGAAGGATGAGGAGCCCGACAGGCACGTCCCCATTCGGCTTCAGGTGAACCCGTGGGTTACTGAAAGCTGGAATCTAGCTTGGTCGCAAGACCCTCGCCTCCCGGCGCCATTAGCCATTGCTCAGGTGCCCAGACACCGCGGATCGCTCCGAGGGGAACAATTTCCGCTCAGTCGTCCCCCGACTGGCCGACCATGATCGGATACCGCAGCCGAGGGAACCCGTAGGTGGAGTTGGGAGAGGAGGATCGATGAGGAAGAGGACGAGAACGAGGGCGAGGATACAGCGGAGGAGAAGCAAGGATGACCGAGGAGGAGACCGAACGGCGATGCCCAGGCCCAGCCAAGGAGGTGCTCAAGACCGAGGCTCGCTACCACGCCGTCGGTCCGTCGTCCGCCGCTGCTCCTTCCGAGTGTGGTCCGCCAGCGCGGCGTCCGCCCGCTGGATATGACGTTTTCGAGCCCAGCGTTTTGTCTTGATTCCGATGTCTGCGGCCCAGTATCGGAGCATCGGGCCTCAAGGCCGTCGAGCACGGATCAGGGACGAAACGCTACCCCTGGGAAAGGGGTCGGCAAATTGAAACAACAAATCTTGTCCGGGGTCGTCGACGTTTGTCGGGGTCGTCGTCGTCGTCGTCGTCGTCGTCGTCGTCGTCGTCGTGGTGGTCGTGGTGGTCTTGGTCGCAGTCGCGGCCACGGTCGCGGTCGTCGTCGTCGTCGTCGTCGTCGTCGTCGTCGTCGTCGTCGTCGTCGTCGTCGTCGTCATCGTGTCGTCGTCTTCCCCTCGTCGTCGTCGTCGTCGCCGCCGTCCTGGCCCTGGTCGTGGTCGTCGTCGTCGTCGTCGCCTCCTCTGGGCCGGGGGGCCCCCCGCGCGGCCGGGGGGCCCCCTTCGGCGCGGCCCGAGGAGTTGGTCTGGGGCGGCGGCTGGGAGGCATCGCCTCGCGGGGCGGGCGCCTCTGGGCGCCTCGGGTCAGGAGCGAAACAAGGACGTACATGTACATGAATCCACGCTGGTTTCGAGAGCACGCATTGCACAAATGTTCGTATAACGCGGCGGGTCTCGCGAATCGAGGGGCCGTGTTCATGTACATAGCTGGGCGCGTACGTCCTTTGTGGGCTCCCTATCGGGAGGCTCCTCGCTGCAACGGATGAGCGCAGCTCGAAAAGCTGGCCAGGAGGGATTCCCCAGCGCGAAAGCCGAACCCTACCCTCGTCGGGGGCGGAAAAGAGGGGGGTGATGACTAAGGGGGGGGTGGATATCATGGCGGGGGCCATGATATCTCCCCGGATTTCGTGGCGCCTCTTCTTGTTTCATTACGTCCCTGGCCCCCCCGCTGGGCCGCGCACATTCCGCCGGTCATGATTTGCACTCCCCCCTCTTGGACACCCCCCTCTTGGCCGCTCCCGACCTCGCCAATCAGCGATTGAGGCAATTCGATGGGCGGCGGGGCTAGGGTTTGGAATTCGTCGAGCACGTGGCGAAGTCCGAGCCCTGCCCCCGCCTCCCATCGATTCGGGAGAATCGATGGTCGGTGGGGGCAGGGTTCGAAGGCCGCCACCCAACTCTGGGAGGGGAGCCCGGGGACCCATGCCGAACATCTGGCCAGGGTGCAGGGTCCCTTGGCATCGCTCGGACGTGTGCATTTTTCCTTCGGCGAGGACCATCGAGGAGCATCCTTGATCACTTGGCGGAAAAAACCACGCACGAAACCGAAAAAACACAGGGAATGGACGTCCTAGCGATGGCCAGGTCCATGCTGATCCGATCGATCCAGTCCCATGTCGATTCCGGCAGGAGGCCCGATCCGATTCGATCCTGACGTTCCGACGATCCGATGCGCCCTGATGTTTGCATGACGTTTCTGTGCCTCTTGGTGCAGTCGATCCGATTCGAGTTCGGATATGTGCCGGTGCAGCCCGAGCCGATGCACATATTCCGATGCGATTCGATTGACCGATCCCATGCGGATTGATCCTGGGGTGGGCTCCCGGAGGGGCCGGGGGGCCCGTGTGAGCGACGGAAGAATGCACTGCGTGCTGCGCTGGCGGAGCGCTAAGCCGCGGCGTCAGGTCGCCATGTCTTGTCGCGTACGGCCCGCTTCGTTTCGTCGCTCACGTCTGGAGTGGATTCTGCCCAGGCGTCCGGCGTCGTCGTGATCATCTCCAGGCGGGGAGGCCTTTTCCCCGTCCTCGTCATCTTCGGGGGCTCCGTGGGGGCCGCTCCCAAGTGGCAGTCTGGGGAGGAGGAGGAGCGAGCGATTCCCGGCCTGGCCGCCGCCGCCAGCGACCTCGTCGCCGTGAACGTCGAGGAGGATCGTGGATCGAGACGCATCCACCCGTGCCAGGGAGGATCGAGGCTCGTTCGCGTTTCCGATCTTTGCTCCGTGCCTCGGGTTCTCGAGGGCTCCGCGGTGCCCGCGCAGGGAGGAATCTGCACGAAATGGTGTGAGGAGGCCCATCCTCTCTCTCTCTCCCTCCATGCACTTCAGGAGGGGAAGCAACACACAGACACAATTAATCGTCGACCCCCAGGAAACATGGGAAAATGTAGGAAGTGGGGGGGAAGACAAACACCGAGAAAATATAGGAAATATGGGGAATCCTGTTATTTGTGTGGCTTTTGTTTGTGTGTCCCAGGGCCCCTTCAGCACTGTCCTCCGTCTCCGTCCCTCCCTTCCTCCTCCCGTCCCCTCCTCCCCCACCACCCTTGGCCCTCCAGGAGGGCTGGAAGGTAGCCCTGCACACCCATAGACCCATCTCGACGGCCTCGAGCCTCGACTGGGATTCGGACGTCGGGGTCCTGGTGGTATCTTTCAGCCCCTCCTGGAAGGTCAGGGCTCCTCTTCCCCCTCCCTCCCCTTCCTGCCTCCTCCCCCCCCCTGGGCGCCCCGCGGCGCCTGCTTCCAGGAGTACCTGAGCCTCCTGTCGACCAGGGAGGCCCCGAGCGCCTCGCCGGGACCTCGCCGCCGCCGACGCCGCCGCCGCGGCTCCCGTTGTCTCGGGGCGACTGGCACGCGTGCGGGAGGAATTGGGGACGAAGAAGAGCGAGCAGCCCGAGCAGGTCCAAAGGGGGCGAGGGTGCGGGGGGTGGCCCGGGCAGCCTGGGAAGAGGGGCGATGGGGCTGGTGCGTTTCGGGGCGATCTACACGGGCACTTTATTAGCGAATGTAATTGGTTTTAGGGTTGTAACACATGGTCGCAGCCACGCAGAGGGCGCGCGTAGCGACGCCCCAAATGCTCGGTCTCCGGCACTTCTGCGTGCCTGCGGCGCCCCCGCAGGCACGCAGAGGGCACGCGTGGCGACGGGGGCGTCGCCACGCAGAGCTTCTAAAGACCAAACATGTTGAAAACATTGTTTTCCACTGCTAAAGTACCGAAACAACGGTTACAACGTCCGACACCAGTTCTTGTTCATTCTGAACAGGGCGCACTGACTGTGTCGCCGCAGACGATGGCCATTTGAGACTCAAGCTCACCTGTCCAACAGCGGCCGCTGTCGGTTTGGGGCAGCATTTGTTGTTGGGCATCGTACCCATGTTTTCCGTATCCGTTTCGTGTTTCCAGAGTTGTCGTCGTCCCTAGATTTCCGATGTGTTGAGAGAATCGAGACGGAGGTTTTTCTACGTTTTCGGCGTCTGTAGGCCCTCGTTGGGCCCCCAGACCGTCAAAGAACTATCCAGGAGGAAAAGCGGGTCCCGGGAAGGTGGTCCAGAGCTTCGGGGACCCGCAATGAGAAAAAATACAGGACATTGGAGGTTTGGGCCCGCGTCTTCCTCGTTGGCCAGGCTTCGGATTGCACACGGCCCTCACCAGGTAGCCCCAGCTGGCCTGAGGCCCCCCGAGTAGTCCCAGCGGGCCCCAACAGGTCCCCCGAGTAGTCTGGGGCGATCTCAACACCCTGGCGCCGCCTGCGGCGGCGCCCCTGGGTTGAGGAGCTGAGACCGCCCCGGACTACTCGGAGGACCAGTCGAGGCCCTATTTATTCGGGGCCTGATGAAGCCGGCCGGGACCACCTGGTGGGGGCTGTCTGCGCGCAAACCGAAGTCGTACCAGTCCATACCCTCATTGTCGGCCTGACCACTCTTCAGAGCGGAGCGGAGGAACTCACAACTCGAAGAAGGAAAACCGCATAAACATAAACTTTTGGCGCTCCGCGCGGATTTCTTGGATCCGCGCTGGGCCCCCCCTGGCGACGCCTGCAGCGCCGCCCCTGGCGCGCTCCGCGCGCCAGGGAGGGGGGTCCAGCGAAGATCGAAGAAATCCGCTCGGAGCGCCGAAAGGTTGAATTCTTTACGCTTCGCGTATCCCCACCAGCCCATCTCACAGCAGCAACTCTTGCGAAGCATGCCGACAGTCGTGTTTTTCAGGCGTGTGTCCGCTTGGCCCCGCATATCTCCCCTGTTCCTCCTTCCTCCCGCCTCCTTGTACATCCTCCTTGTGGGGGGAGCGGGAGAAGGACGAGGCGGAGGAGGAGGGAGAGAAAGCGCTCCTCGTGGTTTGAGTCGTTTGGGGTTTCTCGTCCTGGTGTGAGTCGTTCGGGCCCTTCTTCCTGGTGTGAGTCGTTCGGGCTCTTCGTGGTGTGAGTCGTTCGGGCTCTTCGTCCTGGTGTGAGTCGTTCGGGCTTCTCGTGGTGTGAGTTGTTCGGGCCCCTCGTCCTGGTGTGAGTCGTTCGGGCCCCTCCTCCTGGTGTGACTCGTTCGGGCTCCTCGTGGTGTGAGTCGTTCGGGGCCCGCGTCGTGGTGTGAGTCGTTCGGGCTCCTCGTGGTGTGAGTCGTTCGGGCGCCTCGTCCTGGTGTGAGTCGTTCGGGCCCCTCCTTGTGGTGTGAGTCGTTCGGGCTCTTCGTGGTGTGAGTCGTTCGGGCCCCTCGTCCTGGTGTGAGTCGTTCGGGCTCCTCGTGGGGCCTCTTGGGGGCCTCTTGGAGCCTCTTGGGGCCTCTTGGGGGCCTCTTGGGGGCCTCTTGGGGGCCTCTTGGGGGCCTCTTGGGGCCTCTTGGGGCCTCCTCTTGGGGGCCTCTTGGGGGCCTCTTGGGGCCTCTTGGGGGCCTCTTGGGGCCTCTTGGGGGCCTCTTGGGGGCCTCTTGGAGGCCTCTTGGGAGCCTCCTGGGGGCCTCTTGGGGCCATCTTGGGGCCTCTTGCGACCTCCTCAGAAGCGCAAATGAGCGCTGCCCCCTGAGAAGGACAAAATGAGCCGTAAACCTTCGTAAAATCAATGATTTTGCTATGAAGGACGATGAGCGCTGCCCCCTCAGAAGCCCAAAATGGGCCCAAAACCATAGTAAAATCCATGATTTTGGCTTCAGAGAAGAGCGGAGGCGCCAAACGGTCCCCCCCCCTGGGGGCCAGAATCCTCGTGAGGGTCGTCGTTTTTTGGCCCTCCGAGGAGTCGAAAAAGACTCCCCTGACGACCCGCGGCCCGCCCTCTCCAGGCCCAGGGGGAGGGGGTAGGGGGAGGGGTAAACCCCTCCCCGAAGGGGAAGAAGGGGGGTTGAGGACAGAGCGGGCTCTCTAAACCACTCACGCCCAAAGGGCTGGTGGGATTTATGTCGTTTCTCTTCTTCACACCAGGATCGGCGGTGTGCCTCCACCGAGACGATCGAACGAACGAACAAAAGACATCGCCGGCCTTGTCTCACCGCTTTGCGGGAGCGGTTGCGTGGGGCGAGTCGTCTGCCTCTGACTGTACAGCATGACACGGGATGTCCTGGCCGCGTGGCCGATACGAGTTTGACCCACGGAGAAAATAACATGCAGAAGTTATGAAAAGAGAAGGTATGGGTCGCGCGGGCCAAGACCTTATCTGTCCATGATCTCCCGATCTCGGTGATGGTAGTAAGATTCGGGCTTCCAGGATGGCCGAACTAGCAAGTACCACCAACGCCAATGTCTAGGGTCATCTTACTCCTGTGGAGGCAGCCCCCTGTGATGGTGTTGGTGCCCATTCCCTGGCCTCCAACACATGATTCGGGAATACCCATCGGTCTTTGAAAAGGTAGGTATTTTGGGATTCCCAGATTCCAATCTACTTTCAGCGCCCTCCTACTTCAAGAGTCGAGTGGTTTGCCCTCTTCCTTCCTCTTCAGGAGGCGTGCGGAAACCCAATTTTTTTTCAACGCCTTCCTACTTCATGTTTCTACCTACTTCTTCCGACCGATGGGTAGTGCCCTCGCCTCGAGCCAGACTGCACGTTTTGCCCAGGCGGTCAGGGCCATTTTTTGTTCGAAGAGTCCATCAGGGTGCACATGGCCGTGCTCTCGCCTCGATGCCGGCAGCACGTGTAGTCTCGACGGCCGCGCATCTTCATGAACAAATCCGCTGAGGTGCGCATGGCCGTGCTCTCGCCTCAGAGTCGGCTGCCTCTGTGGTCCGGACGTTACCAGCCTCGAACGTATCCCTATCCCTAAGATTGACACGCCAAAAGGCGATGACAAACTTAGTGATTCACCTTCAAAAAATAAGGGAATCCCTAAGATTGGCATCGTGATGAGGAGGTTCCCAGCATAGGGATAGGGATAGGTTCCAGGCTGGTAAGGACGATCACGACCTCTTGTAGAGCAAGTGCGCTCAGGTGCATATGGCCGTGCTCTGGCTTCAATGCTGACTCCATTTTCGGTCCGGGCGGCCAAGACTCTTGGATACGCAACATGGAACCACTCTGGTGCACATGGACGTGCTCTCGCCTTGCCAATGCTGGCTGCATTTTGGGTCTGGACGGCCGCGGTCCCGCAGGTCGTGCAGGCCGCACAGGTCCACAGGTCCCAAATGTCTCACAGGTCCCACACGTTCCACAGCTTCCACAGCCACAGGTCCACAGGTTCCATCCTTCATGCCGCATGGGTGCCACAGGTCCCAGAGGTCCCACAGGTCCCACAGGCCCCCCCAGGTCCCGCAGGTGGTACAGCCGCAGAGGCCCCACACGCGTCATGAGTTCCACAAGTTGCACAGGTTCCACAGGTCCCACAGGTCCCGCAGGTCTCACGGGCCCCACCAGTCCCACGGGTCCTACAGGTCCAACAGGTCGCACACGTCCCACAGGTCTGACAGGTCGCACAGGTCTCACAGGTCCTACAAGTCGCTAAAGTACTACAGTTCCTTGTTACCCCACAGGTTCCACTTGCCACATAGGTCCCACAGGTCCCAAATGCCCCACGGGTCCCACAGGTCGCACGGGTCCCAGAGGGCACACAGCTCCTTTCGATGCCATGAACCAACTAATCAGGGTGCTTTGCAGGAGTATTTGGTTCATGAACATGGCTCATCGGGCCCGAGCCGATACCGATTCCTGCTTCCCCCCTAGTCCTTTTCGCTTTGCCCCCTCGCTGCCACCCCCGCCCCTCCTCCACTACCGTCCTCTGCCCTTCCTTCTCTTATGCGTCCTCCCATCTTCCTCCTCCCGGCCTATCTCTCCTCCTCGCCTCCTGTCCCTGGGTCCTCCTCCCCGATCCCCATCAGTATCATTCGTCTGCATCTTCCTCCTTCCGGCGCGTCACCCTCCTACCCTTGCCCCTCTTCCTCCTCCTCTTCCTCCTCCTGTGCCTCGTCCTCCTTCGCCTCTTCCTCTGCGACCAGCCCACGTACCTGTCATCCGCCTTGCCGCCCCCAGTTCAGCAACATCGGCGAGGAGGAAGAGTGCCAGGCCCTCGGGCGCGCACGAGCGCCTTCTCACGTCCGCACCCCCGCACTGGAAGGCATGGCGGGACTTGCCATGCGAGTGACGAGCGGCTGGATGCTTGTGTTGTGTGTTGGGCGTTGTGTGCGGGTACTTGTTTTGCGCGCGTCCACCTTGTGCGGAGTGTGTGTGTATATATATGTGTGTGATCGTCCGTGTGTTCGTGCGTGCGTGTGTGCGTCCGTGTGTTTGATTGCGTTGCGTGGCGGTATGCTTTGTGCGAATGTAGGCGTTGCTGATTGTGCTTTGCTGTGGTGGTGTGTGTGTGTGTGTCTGTGTGGGCTCTGCTCGTGTGTATATATTTGCGTTCACGCGCACTATCACATTTGCATTTCAGTATACGTGTCGGCTTCTGCGATGATGTGTGTACGCGCACGCGTGTGTGTGTGTGTGTACGTGTGTGTGTGTGTACGTGTGTCTGTGTGTGTGTGTGTCTGTGAATGTACGTGTGTACGTGTATGTGTGTGTGCGCGTGTGTGTGTGTGTGTGCGCGTGTGTGAGAGTATGTGTGCGCGCTCGTTTGCGCGCTTGCGTGTTACGCACATCTATGTATATATATGTATATAACTATGTATAGGTATATGTATATGTATATGTAAATGTAAATGTACATGTAAATGTATGTATATACCTCGCACGTAATATCACACCTGCAGTCACGAGTTGGCTTGCAGGGAGGAAGAGGACGGGGGGGGGCGGGTCGAGCAAGAGGGACGAGGGGCGAGGGGTGTGGACTTGGAGACGGGGAGGGGGATGAGGGCGAGTGGATAAGGGAACAAGCGCAGGGAAAGTTGTGAGGAGGAGGATGATGAGGAGGAGGAAAGCCAGGAGGAGGAAGATGAGGGAGATGAGGAGGATGAGGGGGAGCAGGAGGAGAAGGTCTCCTCCTTCCTCTCCTTACTGGCCCCTGTCTTCCACCTTTCACTGTCTACCTTCCGCCGGCGACTCCTGGAGCGACGGCTCCAGGAGCCGCCCGGCCTGACAACCCCCCAGGCCGACAAGCCTGGGGAGGGTAAGGGCAGCGATCGAGAATCTCTCATGCCATCAGGAGCCAGGAACGAGGAGGAGGCGGAGGAGGAGAAGGCGGAGGAGGAGAAGGAGGAGGAGGGGGCGGAGGAGGAGGAGGAGGAGGAGGAGGAGGAGGAGGAGGGGCGGAGGAGGAGGAGGAGGAGGAGGAGGAGGGGGGCGGAGGAGGAGGAGGAGGAAGGAGGAGGAGGCGGAGGAGGAGGAGGAGGAGGAGGCGGAGGCGGAGGAGGCGGAGGAGGGAGGAGGAGGAGGAGGGGGAGGAGGAGGAGGAGAACGGGCCGCCGGCGCCTTCGACCGCGTGCGCGCGCCCACCGCCCGCCTCTCCCACGAGACGGTTACGCTGGGCAAGATGGGCAGCGCGGACCAGGCGGCGCGCGCGCGCCCGGGGAGCAGGGGCTCGCCCCCCCAGGGCCCGGGGGAGGCCCTCTTCCTCCTCCTCGTCCTCTCGCCCTCCAGGGCCCCCCACGGGAGAGACCAGGAAAGGCAGCGCCCTCCTCCCTCACGTCCTCCCGCCCTCCCTCCTCCTCGCCCCAGCGTCCGCCCTCCCCCCAGCACCTGCCTCCGCCTCCTGCGGCGGACCCCGCCTGCCATTGGGCCCGCTGCCGAGGGACGCGCCCTGCAGCCGCCCCGCGTCCGTGGGAAGCCCAGTCAGCCCGAGAAGCCTGAGAGGTTCAGCAAGCAGTGGCGAAGCGTCCTGGCTTGCCTACAGCCCCACCGAAGAGCGTTCGCAGAACCTGTTGTGGTCTGCCCGAAACGTTTGTAGAGCATTCCTGGCCCAGACTGTTTTGTTTTCAACACATCGGGCCTACGTTCTACGCACAAGGACTTTGTTCTTAGAACATGCCCAGGTTCAAAGGACTTTTTCGTGGTAGGCGCATAGGAAGGCCGGGACGGTCCGTCCCTGCCCAGGTTGAGCAGCGAAGCGGCATCACAGCAGATACAGAGGAGGCAGAGCCGAATCTCAGCGCGCACGCCTCCACTGCCCTCTCGACATGGTGGAGGCGGCCGTCCAGTCTGACTCGTCCCTGCGCCAGCCTGCTCCCGACCTTCCCCCCCGCTCGGAAGCCGCGCAAGGGCTGCTCAATCCGTGGCTGCTGAAATCGACCTCCGGGAAGTTGTCTCCGTCCTCCCGGGAAGAAGCCCGTTGGCTGTTTCGCCTGCCGCGCCTCCTTCCGGGAAGTTATTTTTTCCTTCCGGGAGGGCCGTTTTAGCAGCCACGGTTTTAGCAGCCCGGGGGCCCCCGACCGGTGTGGTGACCACACCGTGCGGTGAGTCGGTGGGGATTCGGGGTCACCGCACGGTTTTGGGACTCGAGCCCTTCTCCGAGGATGTCGCGGGCGACCGGGGCCTCTAGGGTCCCAAAGCCGTGCTGTGACGGACCGTGCGGTGAGGTCTGGGCGGATTTCGAGGTCTCCGCACGGTCAGTCACCACACCGTTTTGGGACTCCCAAGCAGCCCTCCCCCAGCTATCCACCCGCTCCGCCCTCCTCTCTTGCGCAGGCCGCTGGGCGCCGGCTGCGCCCGCGGCGTCGGCTCCCTGCTCCCCCCCTCCCTCGCTGCGCACGGGGGGGCGGAGCCGGCGCCGCCCCTCGCCGGCTCCCTCGGCGCGCTCAGCGCGTCAGGGGCCCCGCCTCCTCCTCTCTCCTCCTCCTCCTCCCTCCTCCTCCTCCTCCTCCTCCTCCTCCTCCTCCTCCTCCTCCTCTTCTTCTTTCTCCTCCTCCTCCTCCTCCTCCCCCTCCTTCTCCTCCTCCTCTTCCTCCTCCCTCCTCCTCCTCCTCCTCTTCCTCCTCCTAGCTCGCGGGGAGCGGGATGCGAAATAGTCGAAAATCCTCCTCCTCCTCCTGCTCCTCCTCCTCCTCCGCCTCCTCCTCCTCCTCCTCCTCCTCCTCCTCCAGGAACGCCCTCCTCCTCCTCCTCCTCCTCCGCCTCCTCCAGGAATTCCCCTGCCATGACCTTCCTTGAGGGCCCGACCAGAGCACCAGGACGACGTCCGAATCCCCGTCGAGGTTTTGGGCAGGCCAGGCAGGTTTATAGGTCTGGAGGGCCATTTTTGCTAGCCTTGAGTCGGAGGGCCTGTCCCTTTACAGGAAAAAATAGTCGGGGGACGTTTTCTTGAAAATGTTTAAAGCATTGGGGGATTTTTTTTGTATTTTTGATTTTTCGCCCAACCCCCCCCCCTGTAGGGGAACAGGCCCGACCTCATGCTTGCTCTCCGGAAGATCAGGGTCTCTCTCCCCGTGGCGAGGGTACCTCGCTGCAGCCCTGGGCCCCAGGAGGGCCGGCGGGCGGGAGGCCGAAGGACGCAGGGGCGACGGGCCGGGGGAAGTGGTGCGCACCGGCTGAGGGCTGCGCGCAGGGCTTCGCAGTCCAGCTCGGCAGGACAACTTGCCTGCGCCCCGCTTGAAAGTATGGCTTCCCGCCCACGTCCGCTTGAGGACTGGTGCGATTCGATCGGGCCTTGACTTGTCTTGCACGCACACACACACACACTCAAACACACACACACACACACACACAAACACACACACACAAACAAACAAACAAAAACACACACACACACACACACTCACACTCACACACACACACATAAACACACAATCACAATCACACACGCGCACTTCTAGTGGCACGCGCTGATTTCTTGGATCGGCGGCGGGGCCCCCTGGCGGCGCCTCCAGCGCCGCCCCTGGCGCGCGGAGCGCGCCGGGGAGGGGGTCCAGCGCCGACCCATCCGGCCACTCCAGGGCGACGCGCGCGTTCAGCAATCGTCTACTTTCGGGACCTCGCGCAGGGGGGGGGGGGGGGGGGCACAATGGGGGGGGGAGTGAGTTCGGTCCGTTGGCGCATCGAACCGTAGAGCAACGATGCAAAACGAGGTCTCCGGCCGCCGCCGGAACCCGAAAGGTGTCGACAATCGGGGCGCGCGGGGGGCATCGTCGATGCGGCATCGTGTTTCGGAAATTCGATGCACCAGCAGATCGAACTCACCCCCCCCTCAGGGTCCCCCCTTTGACTGACCCCGATACCTGGCATCGCTCGGACGTGTGTACTTTTCTCGGCGAGGAGCATCTTGCATCATCTTGCGAGACACAATACGTACGACACCGAAACAGGCATGGGGGATGGACGTCCGAGCAATGGCAAGTCTAGTATGTGATTGGTGGCGCGCGTTCTTTGGCCGTACTACGTGGATAATTCAATGCTAGAAGATGTTTGCACTACACGCTCGGTCTTCGGCCGTGCGCGTTCAGGGTGGGGCGCGCAGTAACATTACGTTATTGTGCGTCCCACTCCACCTTCGTCCGCGCGGAATTCCGAACGTCTGTGTCCATGTATCCATCGCGACACGCTAGCAAAAGTTCCCGACCGTGGTGTCCCGCGCGGGCTTGGCTCGGGCCCGCCTGCCTGGCTTTCTTGACGCGCGCAGATCGAGGAGTGCACGACCTGCGCCTACTCGCCAGAAGACTGCGGTGGCGGGGACGGTCACGTCGCTTCTGCCGGTGCTCCCACCTGGTGCTCCCACCTGGTGCTCCCACCTGGTGCCCCGTGTGGCTCTCCATGCCCCCTCGCCCCGCCCCTGCGAGGTGCGCGACCTGCGCGAGGAGGAGTGCGAGGGCCGCGCGAGTTGGGTCATGTGCGCCTACTTCGGACCCCGCCGCCGACGAGGGCGACGACGACGACGACGAGGGCGACGACGAGGAGGGCGACGACGGCGACGAGGGCGACGACGGCTCCGCCGCCGCCCACGAGGGTGACGAGGAGCAGGATCGGGAGGGAACAAAAGAGTGCCAGTGGCGCGCCGCCGCCGGGAGCCCTGGCGGCGAGGCGCTGCGCCGATGCATGCCCGAAGGCCCGGCAGTTCTTCGGCAGTGGCGCGCTGGTGGGCTCGATGCTGTTGCTGCCCCCGCGCGCCCCCCCCCTTTCCCTCCCCCTCGATGCTTAATTCAAGCTTCGCGCGGCCCGCTTAGCCTCGACCTGAAGAGGTGTGTTCTCGACCCGCGAATCAAAACTGTTTCTGCCCCCGTAACGACGACGACGAGGGCGCGACGAGCACGACGGCGAGGGTGACGAGGGCGACGGCGATGGCGAGCCGGCCCCGCCGCGCGCGTGCCTCGGCTCTCGTCTTTCTGGCCTCCCCTTCCAAAAAGAGCATCCGCTGTGAATACAAACTTGGACGAAGACGAGGACGAGGAAAGGGCGAGGACGCAAGCTAGGTGCGTTCGCGCCATAATTGACATCCTACCCCTCCCACCCATTCCTTCCCATCGCGCTACTATTTTCTCCATCCGCGGATGCGTGCCATGATCAGGCTGCGCTAATGTGAAAAAGCAATGTGAACGTAAACCTGGACGACGACGAGTGCAATGGAGCGGCGAGGAGCAGGGGCGAGGAGGAGAGCGGAAGGAACATACGCGGGGAGACGGGGAGGGAGTCGAACCAGCATATGCAACATCAGCATCTTCCTGCACAGGTCCGCGCGCGGATCTCTTGGACCGGCGCCGGAGCCCTCCGCTTGGCGCGCGGGGCGTCGCCGGAGACGCCTTCGAGGGGGGGCCCCAGCGCCGATTCAAGGAATGCACGCGCGCCTCCGGAAGTTCCGGGGGTGGACAGACCTCCTAATTTCAACGGCACCGCAACGGGTACTTACTAACGGGTACTTTGCAATTTTGCCGAAAGTTGCCACTTTAGGGCCTCTTTCTGGCAATGCAGCGTTGCCCGCATCGGGAAGGGTTGGGTTCGCTGGGTCACTGGCCAAAGTACCCGTTAGTGGAGTCCCCGTTTGAGGGGCGCTGATAATTACCCTGACACGTCGATTAAGGAATTGGCCGTTTTCGTTTCGCGAGAGGACGTCGCGGCCGTCATTTTTGCGGGTCCAGGTCCGTCGGTTTCGGTCCCAGGCCGTTTTCGCTAAGGGGAGGTTTACTCAAGGAGGTTTGTCCACCGCCGAAAGTTCCCATGATGCACTTTGTTTGTTTTTTGTTTTTCCGCCCGCGTCTCTCGCTTCTCGTCTGCCGGCCTCCCGGGGTCCCAGGGCGACGAGGCACTCTCGCCACCAGGGGGGGGGCGGGGAGGTCCGCCCGTCGCGGGCTCACGTGGCACCTTCCTGGGTCCTGGGGCCGTCAAGGAGCAGGTCTTCAAGCAGTGGCGAAGCGTCCTGGCTCGCCTATCTATAGCCCTACCAAACACTGTTCAGGAGGAACAGAAACACACAGACACAATTAATCGTCGACTTCCAGGAAAATATGGGGAAATATGGGAAGTGGGGGGGAAGACAAACACCCAGAAGATATGGGAAAATATGGGGAATCCTTTTATTTGTGTGTATTTATTTGTGTGTCCCACGGCCCCTTCAAATGTTCTAAAAACCTTTTGAGGTTTCCACGAAATGTTCTTAGAACATTTCTGGTTGAGACTGTCTTGTTTTAACACATCGGGTTAATGTTATAACATTGTTTTTGTTCTTGGCATTTTTGGGGGTTCTGAGAACATTTCGTGGTAGGACTATAGCAATGCCTGGACGGTCGGTCCCTGCTCAAGGTCCGGATGAGAAAGCGGTGCCTGGAGATGCCCCAGGGAAAGTGCCCGTTTTCTTCAGGATTCCTTTCTTTCATGCCATCGAACATTCGAGTTTTTCATGTTGCAACTTCGGGGTCGGGGTGCCTCGCTTGCACCCCAAACGTGTATTTTCTTCCGCCCGACGCCGGCTCGATGTGGATTCGACACAGAAGCGAAGCGGATAGGTGCGCGACGAGACAGACAAGGCCCCCCACAAGATGCAGCATGAAGTTTCGATTTCTTTACAACGTTGGTTTCTTTGGTGCGACCCTGGGGCCCCTCGGGGCTGTCCTGGGGCCTCCTGGAGACAAGTGTTGGGGGTTGTTTTGGGTTCCCTTTGGGCTCTCTTGGAGCCAGCGGGGGCTCTGGCGGGCCCCTCTCGGGCCCCTGTCGCCCCTGCCAGTTTAGGCCGCAGTGCTGTTCTTGCCACTTATGCAGGCGATGTCTATATCCACATCCAGTGCGTCTTGAAGTTTCGGGCTCTCGTCCCCAAAAACATGAGGCGCACTGGATATGGATTAAGATCTGGCCCCCAAAGGCTACATTTTATCCAATCCATATCCAGTGCGCCTCGGCCTCGCGGCGCCCCTTCCAAGAGAGTCCAAGACGCACTGGATATGGATATACTTATTGCCCGCAACTTAGAGATCTCGATGGGGGCCAGAACAATATCCATGAGCAGTGATACGCCGCCGTGGGGAGCCAACCGGCGTGATGCTGCCGAAAAACTACCAGGCTTTCTGACGGGATACTGGCGGCGGCGTGTCATGGGTCATGGATTGTTCTGCCTCCGTCCCGAAGCGCCTCGAGATTCCGAGGCCCACCTGAATGCTGCAAAGGCAAGAATCCTATAGTCGTTGAGAAACAGTGCGGTTACAATAGTTTGGGGCTCTCGGGGGCTGCTTCGGGAGTCCCAGGGCAGTCGGACCTGAAGCTATGTTGGGACAAACCGGGGCCATGGCGAAGGCCATCTTGGGTTACCTGGGGGCCCGCGCTGGAGCCATCTCGAAGGAGGCTCGACAGCGCGGTGAGACAGTGCTTGGAGTTGTTAGGCTTTCTTCGGCCGCTTTGGGAACCTCTAGGGGTAAATGCAATGCCACCTTCGCATGTCCCCATGTCATATTCCGGAGCACACATGCATTGGGGGGCACGGATCTCTTTGTCCTGGAGCCAGATACAATATTTGTTTGCCATACTCGAGTAAATGAGGAATTTGGTAAAGCACATTTTCGTCTCCATGAATGTCAATGCTTCGCTAGGGGGCCCAGTCATCGCGCCGCCTGCAGAAAGGGATGGAATTCTTTCAGGGTTGAGTTCATTGCCATGCCGCTGCACAGCGATCTAGTGTTCCTGCCGGTTCCTGCCGACTGAAGATCAGTGCGTCTGAATGTGTCGGAGCATGCTTATTCGGAGCAGGTTTTGACTATCATCGTCGCATCCCAAGCAATCGTTTTCACGCAGCTTGGTACGCCACTGTTTCGATCGCGTGGTCAGCATAACGAAGCTCTTAGCTGTAACACTGATGTGCGGGTGGAGGGTGAAGCATTGCTTCGGAATGTCATGCGGACGGAGGCGGACGATGAGGACGCACGGGAAGACGATGTTGAGGATCAGGATGAGGGGAGGTGGGCGGTCGTTGTCTGCCGATCAAATGTGCGGTCTCGGGCGTGGAGCGTTTGCGCCCCGCCGTGTTTACGGCGGTGTAATGTTTGGACAGAGGCGTGTTGGCGAGGCGCGCAGCAGAGGCGATTCTGACATAACGAAGTTGAGCATCATCGGTGGTCCTACTTGACGCATGCCCTCTCTACCAGGCATACCGCGTGACTGACTGCCCATCGTGATATCACATTGTTTTCCGCGCGTGGTATGTCATGTTATTCCGTGCTTTCTCAACCGCAGGTGAGGCCCTTCCTGTGTCTCACATGTGGCAGTGATGACACGCTCGGTAGTAACAGCAACGTGAAGGGCAGATCGAGTTGACCAGTGGCATGTCTGCAGAGCATATCAAGTTATGTCGTGCTCGCCCACGTGTTGTACATGCGAGGACGCATGGGCGGCTGGTTCAGCATCTCGGCCTGCGTCTTCATGTATTTGGTGAAGGATTTGATGGACCTCAGGTGCTGCTCGCGACTGTGCGGCTGACGCACACGAGATCATTTCTTAGACGGGCTGCTCGAGATGTGCAGTCTGTAAAACGAACGATGCTTGTATACAGCGAGACGCTCGCCATTGAGGCCAGCCCTGAGGCTTCGAGTCGGAGATCTACTACAGACTTGACTTACCCAAGCAGTGCACATTTCGTCGGATCTACACAGAGTTTTGTATCCCAAAAATGGCATGCTCGTCGGATCTACGCAAGGTGCGTCGCATGTTCGTAGGGCTACATACATTCGACGTACTTGTTGGTGGTTCGGCGAACCTTTTTTCAATATTGGGGTGAATCAGCTACGGAGTCGATATCCTACTCGAATTCTTGGTGGTAGCGATGGGATCGGGTCAGTGGCGGATGCCTCGACTGCGCCCATTGACCAGCGATAGGGGTCTGATAGCCCGCCCCACGAAGCAACGTCTGGATTCGCTATCGGGAACCTGTCGTCTGCCAGCGATGCATCGTCGGTTTCAGCTCGATGCTTCCCCGCCCCGAGCAGGTCCCCCTTCCTCGTTGCCCCTCGGCTGTCGCGTACACCCAGATAGCCGACGATGTGGCGTGCTCCATCCGGGTGTCTCCCCAGGTCTCGGCGTGTGGGGGCCGTCCTCGAGCCCCATAGGACCATCGGGAACGGACACGGGGCGAACAGCTGCCCCCCCCCGAGGGGGAGCGGTCCGGGACCTCCTGGGGCCGCGGATTGGAAGCAGCAGATCGCTTGGCATCGCTCGGACGTGTGCATTTTTCCGTCGCCGAGGACCATCGAGGAGCATCCTTGATCATTTGGCGATAAAAACCACGCACGAAACCGAACACAAGCACAGGAGATGGACGTCCGAGCGATGGCCAGATCGGCGGATGTTAGGGCAGCGGGCGGGCGGGCGGCCAGGCCCCAGCGGGACGAGGCCGGCAGGCGGGCCAGCGGGAGGAGGTGGAAGAAGAGGGGAGCAAGCCGGGAACAGGAGCGGGTCATCGTTCCTGCGCTTGGGGCCGTCGTGCTTTCCCCCTCGGTCCGTCGGCCTCGTCTCCCTCCTGCTGTGCTTCGTCCCGTCGTCGGCCTCCGCCCTTGCCGCAGCAGCGGCACGAAGTCCGCTTCGGAGGCACATTCCAAAGATTGTATGCCCGAGGCGCCGAAAGAACACCACGCAGGACAAAGGAAGAGGAGGAGATGGAGGAGGAGAAGGAGTAGGAGTAGGAGTAGGAGTAGGAGGAGGAGGAGGAGGAGGAGGAGGAGGAGAAGGAGGAGGAGGAGGAGGAGGAGGAGGAGGAAGAGAAGGAGGAGAGGGAGGAGGAGGAGCAGTGGCGAAGAGCAGGGGTGGAGGAGGAGGAGGAGGAAGAGGTGGAGGAGGAGGAGGAGGAGGAGGAGGAGGAGGAGGAGGAGGGGAGGATGAGGAGGAGCAGGAGGAGGAGCAGCGGGGCTCGGGTGCTTCGGCGTCGCTGATTGGCCTCTCGTGGGGCGGGCGAGGCGGTTCCAAGGATGCGCTCGGCAGCGGCCTTTGGCGCGCCCCTCGCCTCCTGGCGCGGGTTCCCTTGCTGTTGTCCGAGGGCCCATTTCGAATCGATCTGCCCGACTCGATGTCGGTTTCGGCCCGCCCATTCCGATTCGATCCTGGTGTTCTTGCGGTCCGGTGCGGCCCGATGCTTGCATAGCGTTGTTATGCATTCTGGTGCAGCGGGTCTGGTGCGATGTCGATTCCGTGCCGTCGCAGCCCGATCCGACGTACAGTCCGATTCGAGTCGGTTTCCCGTCTCCATGCTGACAGGGTCTGCCCCCCCCCCCACCCTACCCACCCAAGGTGCAGCATCGAGCTCTCCACGTGGATGAACCACGCCTCTGGCTACAATGCTGGCACGACACGGGTCCCAGCCCGCAAGTTCGGATGGACATCCGGGGCGGGGGTGTGCGCGGAGTGTGCGCGCGGAGCAGGTCGGGTCTTGCTGCGGGCCCGTGGTGGTGTTGCTCGGGCCCCGCACGCGGGATGAGTCGTCTGGTGGCGGTGCTGAGAGGGCATGAGCCTGAGCCAAGCTACATTGCCGAGGTGGCCAAGGGTGCGTATGAGGCGCGCGCGCGTGTGTGACTCTTGCATGTCACATTGTCCTCGCGCATCGGCTCTGGCCATGCGGTGGCCAGAGCCGATGCCGTCTACCTGCAATGGCGAGGTGGGCTGGGGGTCTGGTTCTTGGCGGCGGGTGGCGCTGGCCGATGGGTGTCGACGTCGCGCGGCAACGTCTGCTCGCGAGGGGGGTCGGTCGGTTAGGGGCTAACGGCGGGGATAGCGCCCCCTCACGCTTATTTAAGTCGGGCTTATTTTATTTTTTCGTCGAAAATCATTATGTAGGGGGACACGCCCGACATAACGCTTATTACCAAGCGCGGAGTACATTGGATTCACCAGCCGGGAGGTTAACAAGGTGTGTGTGTGTGTGTGACGCCGGTTTTGTCCTGGGCACGGCTGCGGCGGCGGCGGTGCATCCTTGTGCACTCCTGTGCGTCCTGCGTGCGCTGGCTTCGCCTGTTCCCCACCAAGTTGAGTGTTTTTGCTGCAAGCCCGCTCGCCTCGCGCAGTTACCCACCCGCAGCGCCTGGTGGAATTTCGCACAGTAGACAGGGGCCCTATATGTGATTCGCTGTAGTGGTGTCAATCGGCCGCTGAAGGCAACGTGTATATATATATATATATATGTACACACACAAACGTCATACATATATACATAGATATGTGTGTATATATATATATATATATATCGATGTACACATGTATGGGCATGTATATATATATATATATATATATGTGTGGGTCTGCGTGTGTGTGTATGTGTGTCTGTGTGCCCGCGTGCTCGTAGCCCATTCTAGCTCTCGCAGTGGTGACGTCACTCGGCCGCTGGAAGACAGTGTCTCTTCCGCTCGAGGCTCCGCACAGCTTGACCAGTCGGTGGGGCAACCTGCCTACCTCCACCTGCAATGCCGGGGGTGCTTGCTACCCCTCGCCGCCACGGTGCCGTCACCTCGCTGGAGAAGAAATCTGTGTGTACGCACGCGTGTGTGTGTGTGTGGTATGTGTGTGTGTGTGTGTGCGCATGCTCTTTTGTATCGCTCGGTGTTCCGCCCCAGCGGCGCCTGCGCGCGTCCTCTCGGGAGGTTCAGATGTCACCACGGTTTGACTCGGAGGCCAGTCAGCGCTGACGGCGTCCCCCTTTGAGCCTGTACCGCTGACTCGTCTCTTCTGCTTGTCGTGGGAGACGCGGAGACGTGTCTGTGTGTGCATGTGTGTGAGGGTGTGGGCCCCTTCGCGATGCTCGTGTGCATCCCGCTGCAGTTCTCGCGACAGTGGGTGCCACGTCGCCGGTCTATGAGAAGGTACCCATGCGTGTTTGCGTGTGCATGGTTAGGCGTGGCAGGCTTGCTGCGGGATGCCGCGTTGAGGGCCAGGAAAGTCAGGAGAGGAAAAAACACACAGACACAAGTAGTCTTCGATTCCCCAGAACACATAGGAAAATATAGGAAGTGGGGGGAATTACAGAAGCCCAGAACAGATGGGAAAATATGGGACATCTTGTTATGTGTGTGTATTTATTCTCTTGCACAGGGTGTCTAGAGCTCCCACCACTTTACTTCGGCACCGCACCCCCCCCCTTCATCATCATCACCATCATCATCATCATCATCATCATCACCATCACCATCATCCTCACCATCATCACCATCACAATCACCATCATCATCATCATCATCCACATCATCATCATCATGCGCCCCCTCCGTCTCAGCGCCCTCCCGCGGCTCCAGCGCCCGCCCAGTGCCCCCTCCGCCCCGACCACTTTATTTCGGCACCGCACCCCCCCACCGCTCCGCCCCCTCCCCCGCGCCGTCTCAGCAGTTTATTTCGGCACCGCACCCCCCCTCCCCGCGCCGCCCCCTCCCCCGCGCCGTCTCAGCGCCCCCGCGCGGCTCCAGCGCCCGCCCAGTGCCCCCTCCGCCCCGACCACTTTATTTCGGCACCGCACCCCCCCCCCGCTCCGCCCCCTCCCCCGCGCCGTCTCAGCGCCCCCCCGCGGCTCCAGCGCCCGCCCAGTGCCCCCTCCGCCCCGACCACTTTATTTCGGCACCGCACCCCCCCCCCGCTCCGCCCCCTCCCCCGCGCCGTCTCAGCGCCCCCCCGCGTCTCCAGCGCCCGCCCAGCGCCCCCTCCGCCCCGACCACTTTATTTCGGCACCGCACCCCCCCCCCGCTCCGCCCCCTCCCCCGCGCCGTCTCAGCGCCCCCCCGCGGCTCCAGCGCCCGCCCAGTGCCCCCTCCGCCCCGACCATTTTATTTCGGCACCGCACCCCCCCTCCCCGCTCCGCCTCCTCCCCCGCGCCGTCTCAGCGCCCCCCCCGCGGTTCCGGCGCCCGCCCAGTGCCCCCTCCGCCCCGACGCCGTCGCCGCCGTCGCCGGCCCTCTCGCCGCCCCCGCTCGGCCCTGCCCCTTTCGCCCTCCCTACCCGCCCCCTCTCTCTTCCCGCGACGCCGCCGATGCCGTCGCCGCCGTCGCCACCGACGCCGCCGCCGTCGTCGCCGTCGTCGTCGCCGCCGCCGCCCCGGGCCGAAAGTCTGGTCTGTGGGGGGGGCCCCCATTCAAGTGGCGCATAGCCGGCCCCCGAGAATACACCCGACAGACTCTGCGTGCAAAGCGACTGCCTTGGACAAGCGTTCGCAACACAAGGCCGCCGCGCACTTTGCACCGCGAGCCCCCAGCAGCTGAGTCCGCTCAGTAATTTCTTCCAGCCCTCCTTGGACCCTGGAGGCCTCCCCTTGGAACCCTCTGTAGGCTTCTCGGGCGTCAGTTGGAGGCTTCCTGGGAACCCGTCAAAGGTCTTTGAAGCCATCTTGCGGGGGACGGCCCTTGGAGTCTCCTCGCGCTCGCCCTCTGGAGCCCCTCTTGCGGCCCTGTTTTGTTCACTCCTTCTGCGATGTCTGGCATCCTCTCCCCCCCCCCCCTCCTCCTCCACATCCTCCTCGTCCCCCTTCCTTTTTGTGCGAGAGCCATGGCACACGTGCCACTTGTTCGGACGCAGCCTTATCGAGGATGGACGCCCCCCCCATTGTAGATCCCAGGGTTGGGCCCCACATTTCTGGTTCATCCGAAAACCCGACGAATCAGGGGCAACGATAGGCGGATTCACGATCGGAGGCCTGTCGCCGATCTCTCGGCGATGCATCGCCGATTCCAGGTCGATGCGAACCCCCCCTGTGCCAGTGCCCTCCCCTATCGTTGCCCCCAGAACGAAGCCTGGGGCAGGGGCCGACGCGCCCCCTGTGACTGGTGCCCCCGGCTGGCCTCCAGGAGCGCCCCCTCGACGCCCGGAGGCCTCCCGGAGACCCGTCCGGCCAGCTTCTCCAGGGCCGCGCGCTTCTCCCCGGCGTGGGGCTCGGGGGCGGGGGCACGTCGTCGAGAAGAGAAAGAGCTAGGAGGCCCCTAGGAGGCCCCAAGAGGCCCCTAGAGGGGCCCCAAAGAAGCGCCCCAAGAGGCCCCAAGAGGCCCCAACACGGCCCCCGAGAGGCCTCAGAACTGCCTCCCAGCTGCCCCGAAGAGGCGCCAACACGGCCCCAAAGCGGCGAGGCAATATGGGCCAGCGGAATGAGCGAAACGATTAATACAAAACCGAACCCTAATATCACAGTGAAGACGCGGCCTCACTGAGGTCTCGGGCTTCAGATGAGGGATAATCAGTATATGGGCGGCCGGGTTCGATACATCCGCAGAGAAGGCCCCTTGTCCCTGATGTTGTTGGCCCTCCTGAGTTAGGTCCCCCACCCAAGGGCGAACTAGGGGTCCTTTTTTGGTAAATCAACGGGCGCCAGGTTTCATTTGCGCCGTGCTGGTCCGGCGGCAGCCCAGGCCTTTCTTCCTACTCGCGGACTGAGGGCGTAACGGCGCCGCCGCCAGCGCCCCTGCACGGTGCCGCCCTAAAGTCGGGCACCTTCGGTAGATGCGGGATGCGTCTCGCAGCAAAGGCAGCGAATTCGGCATCGCTGCCCCAGGCGCAGCGCAGGTTCCCGAGGATCGAAGAATGAAACACGCCATAAGCATAAACTGTTGGCGTTCCGCGCGGATTTTTTGGATCCGGCGGCGCCTCCGTCGCCGCCGCAGATCCCAGATATCCGCGCGGAGCGCCAAAGGTTCATGTTGATGGCCTTTTTTTTTCCCGAGGGGAGGAGCAAAGCCTCCCCGCGCGCTGGCAAGCGCCCCACAAGGCTGGCGGCAGCCCGGGCACAGATGTGCCCAACGGTGAAACGCCCCGACAGCAGTCGAGCGCCCACGGAAGCTCGAGATCGCTGAAGCTGCGGGGACCAGAACCAGAGCCCGCGCCATCGAGTCGACCCACCGATCGGTTCTTGCTTGTGCCCAGTGTCCCGCTCGTGGCTGTCATATGCCCCACCTCTGGCAGCAGTGCCTTCTGCTCACCCCTGCTCACGGCGGGCGTGCCCGCCCGACAGCACCACCAGCCCCCGAGCGCCGAAACACAGGAGACGCCGCGGGTTGGAAGCCAGCAGCCCGCTGGGGTCGCGCGCGCCCCCCACGGCCCGAGGACGGGCCCCGCTCGGGCCCGAGGCAGCTCTCGAGGAGACGCCGCCACAGGCGCGGAGCGCAGGCGCCCGCCCGAGGAGGCTCCTGCGCTCTCCCCCGCAGCCGTTCTGGCTCCAGCCTCCCGGCCTCGAGCGCTCCGAGGGCAATTTTTGGGGAAACCAAAAGTCAGAGCGTGAATTACCTACCCCGCTTTCGCTTCCAGGCAACACCAAGCCATACCACGCGCCTCCTCGTCAAGCGGCCTGACCAGTACATGCTGCAATTTGGCATCGTTTGGTATCTCTTGGAAACGAGGGTGGTCAAAAGCGAGGTAGGTTTGTTTCCCCTTAAAAAGGTACCGATACCGCTACTCCCCAGACCTCTCCCCGGGTGTGTTCTGACCAGAATTTCGAGGCGACTCCAGCGGTGGCGACGAGGGCCGCCCAGGAGTCTCGAAAAGGGGGAAAAACGAGGCGAGGGTGGCGGTATGAGCACCTTTCCCTCCTCCGACTTCTGCCGCGCAGGGGCCCCCGCGGGACCCCAATGGAGCGCGGCGGGCGGCCGCCCTGCGGCCCCGCCGGCGCGGGGGCGCTGGGCGAGTGCGCGCTCCAGGCGGTGGCGCTGCTCGCGCCGCGGGAGCTGCACGCCGCCGCCGGCACCTGCAGGCGGCTCGCCGTTGGGGTCAAGTCGGGCCTCTCCCTCTACAGGAGGAAGATGCAAGAGTAGTGGAAACATAGTCTGGGAACGATGTTTAACAAGTATTTCTATGCATGAAACAGTACTTTGGAATCTTTGTTTATTCTTTGTTCAAGATCCGCCTGTATGAGGACACGCCCGACCTAACAGTTGGGGGGCGATGAGTGGGGGGGGGTGATCAACAGGGCCCGTTTCGATCCGGTCGATCCGATTCGGTATCGTTTTCGGCGGGTTCGGTCCGATTCGATCTCGATGTCCCGCCGATGCGATGCGGCTCGAGGCCTGCATGGCGTTGTGGTGCATCCTGGTGGTGCCGATCCGATTCGATTTCGACGCCGTGCCGATGCGGGCCGATCCGACGTACACTCCGATCCGATTCGATCTTACGGTACGATGCCGATTGTTCCTGATGAGTGAGGGGGCAGCGAGGGCTGTAGAAAGGAGCCTCCTCGGGCCCCTGAAGGAACCCTTGAGGGCCCCAAATGGGGGGGCCATGAGGGCCCGAGGAGGGCACCTCTCTTCCCCCCCACTTACTCGCGCAAAACACGCCGTGCAGATGCATCGGCGCCACCCCAGCACACCAGACCTTGCGCGTGTAGACCCAATCCAGAGGCCACGCTTGCGCGCCGAGACATCTTGCAGCGTATGCTCGGCGGCGGGCGCTTTCTGGCCATACCGCTCCGGAAACGACATGTTCCATGTCTGGCCATGCCGCTCTGGAGACGCTCTCTAGCCATACCGCTTTCCGGCCATACCGCGTGCTTGCATGTTTACAGGAGGTCATGGCCTCACCCACTTGGTCTTTGCAGGCCCAGACAGCTTGCCGCTGTGGTGGTTGGTTGGTTCGTTCTTTCATGCCTGCCATGACCACAGACGTCCGTCGATATGAGTGGTGTCAATGCTCGCCCCGACCCCACAGGGGTCCAGACCCTCTCTCTGGCGGTACGCCTTCGTCCCCGACCGTTGCTAGACGGTGGCGGCCCCCAGGGTCCGAAGTCGATGGAAAGCGCCGGGATTGAAGAAGTCATATGCCGCGTCCATTTCGTTCGCGTCGCAAGGGCTCTGTATTGGAGCGGCGTTCACGGCCAACACAGGGTTCCATAGCCCCGTTGGGTCACGGTAGGTCATGGGGCCAACACGGGGTCACATCAGCCTTGGTGGGCTCCCGAGGGCTCTCCCCGAGGGCTCCCGACAGGGCTCGCACAAGCTGCCCGCCAACACGGATGCGTGAGCGCCGCAATTTGGCAACGCCACAGAATGGACGCGGGCACATCGTTGGAGATTTGGCACGCAGGCAATGGCGCAGGCTCGCCGCCCATCATGCGACGACGGCAGGGCCGTCGATCCTCGGGCCCTTCGCGCGCGAGCTGGAGGCGGACTCCGTGGAGCTGTGCCGCCGTGCGGCAGAGGGCACGTGCGCTGAGGGGCACTTTGAGCTCGCGCTCGTCGTCGCCACGGAGCCTCGGGAGGGCCCCCTTGACCGCGCCATGCAGGTGCTGAGGGGGCGGGTGGGGGAGGGGGGAGTGAAGAGCAGGAGGAGGAGGAGGAGGAGGAGGAGGAGGAGGAGGAGGAGGAGGAGGAGGAGTTGGAGGAGATGGAGGAGATGGAGGAAATGAAGGAGGAGGAGATGGAGGAGGAGGAGGAGGAGGAGATGGAGGAAATGGAGGAGGAGGAGAAGGAGGAGGGAGGAGGAGGAGATGGAGGAAGTCCCCTGGACCGCGCCCTGCAGGTGCTCCGCACGATGCCGCGGTTCGTGGCGCTGCCCCCGGACGACTGCTGGGACGGCGGCTCCGAGCAGGCCGCCCCGCGCTCCACGATGCCGCGCTGGGAGCTCCCCGCCGCGAGCTGGGACGCCGACGCGTCCGTGGCGGCGGAGCTCCGCAGGTAGTGTGAAGTCGGGCGTGTCCCTCCACAGGAGGAATATTCAAAAATAGGCAAAACAAATAGTCTGGGGACTATTTGTTTAATGTTGAGCATTTGTTTAATGTTGAGCATTTTGGTGTATGTTCAATCTTTCGTCCAAAATCCGCCTGCAGAAGGACACGCCCGACCTAAAGGCAGTGGGCCGGGGCCTACCTGGGCCCCGACGGCGAGCTCGACGGGGGCGCCCGCTCGCTCTGTCTGGACGTGGTCGCCCGCTGGCGTGCCCTGTGGGGGGCGGCCCGGTGCGCAGGGGAAGGCGAGCCGAGGCAGCACCAGTGGAGGGTTTTTCCGAAGGGCTTACGTAGGCGACCCGTCCTCCTCCTCCCTCCTCCATCTCCTTCTCCTCCTCCTCCTCCTCCTCGTCCTCCTCCTCCTCCTCCTCCTCCCCCGCCTCCTCCTCCTCCTCTCTCCTTCTCCTCCTCCTCCTCCTCCTCCGGCTCCTCCTCCTCCTCCTCCTCCTCCTCCTCCTCCTCCTCCATCTCCTCCATCTCATCCCCCTCATCCATCTCCTCCACCTCCTCATCCTCCATCTCCTCCTCCTCCTCCTCCTCCTCCATCCTCCTCCTCCTCCTCCTCGATCTCCTCCATCTCCTCCATCCTCCTCCTCCATCTCCTCCTCCTCCTCCTCCTCCTCCTCCTCCTCCTCCTCCTATCTCCTCCTCCTCCTCTCCTCCTTCTCCTCCTCCTCGTCCTCCTCTTCCTCTTCATCCTCCTCCTCCATCTCCTCCATCTCCTCACACTCCTCCTCCTCCTTCTCCTCCATCTCCTCCATCTCCTCCATCTCCTCCATCTCCTCCATCTCCTCCTCATTCTCCTTCTCCTCCTCCCCCCCTCCTCCCCCTCCTTCTCCTCCTCCTCCTCCTCCTCCTCCTTCTCCTCCTCCCCCTTCCTCGGGTCGCCTGCGGCCCCGGGGGAAACCGTGCAAGCGCTGGCACTCAAGCAGTGGCGCTGGTTCCTGGCTTTAGGCGTACCAGAGAATATACTAAGAACCTTGTGCGGTCTGAACGAAATGTTCTTAGGACATGTCTGGCTGAGACTTTCTTGTTTTAGCAGATCGGGCCTATGTGCTAAGAACAGCGTTTGTGCTCTTTGAACTTCTGGGGTTCTAGGAACATGAGATAATGTCGTGGTAGGCCTAGAGGATTGCTGGGACGCCCGGTCCCTGCTCAAAGTGCTGGCGCTCAGGGGGGGGGCCTCGTCGCCACGGCTGGGCGCAGCTGGGGGGACTGGTGCGTGTTTGGACTCCGGGAGGGGCCTGCGGGGGCCAGTGAACCAAGCCCCCGTGGTCTCTCAGCTCGCCCTGCGCTCCGAGGTGCGCGGCCGGCTGCCGCGCCGCGGCGCTCTCGAGGACCTGCGTGACCCTGCGCCGGGACAGCCTGCGCGGCACGGAGTGGTGGTGCTTCCGGGTGCTGGGCGTGTCCTTGGCGCCGGAGGCGGGGGCCGTGTCGGTGGTCTCCATGGAGTACTTCGAGAGGAATCGGTCTCGAGGCGGGAATTTCTACATGACCTTGACCTGGAGGATCAATTTCTGGGACCTCGGCAGGCGGTGGATATGGATGTATTTCCGGCCCCTGGGGGCCAAAATGTATCCATGTCCACCGCCCGCCGGGGCACCAGGACGTCGGTTCCCAGGCGGTGGATATGGATAAATCCCCACCTCGCATCGGCGGCGAGCGAAGGGGGGGAGTGAGGAGGAGATGGCCTCCTCAGAAGGCTCGGAAGTCCCCCCGGCCTTCTGAGAAGTTGCCAAAGCCGTCCCCGAAGAGACAGAAGACCTCTCAGAAGGCCGGAGGGCTTCTTGGATGTCCCTCCGCCTTCTGAGAAGGCCTTCTCCTTCTCACTTCTCCCCCCTCGCTCGCCGCCGAAGGAAGCTGCTGGGGTGAGGCCAGGGGGAGGGGCCACGGAGGGCCGGGAGGCCGAGGGTGCGGTCATGGGGTGCGCGGTGCTGCAGGCGTTGGGCGAATGGGCGGCGGTTCAAACGTGGGGCCCTGAGGAGTGGGGCCCTGAGTCAAGCAGTTGCGAGGCGTCCTGGCGTGCCTATAGTCCTACAAAACAATGTTCTGAGAACGTGTTGTGGTTCCCACGAGATATTCTTAGAACATGTCTGGTTGGGACTGTCTTGTTATATATATATATGTATATGTATATATCACATCGGGTTTATGTTCTAAGAGCATTGTTTTGTTATGAGGACATGTTTGGGTTCTAAAAACATTTCGTGGTAGGACTATCTATAGAAGTACAGGGACGGTCGGTCCCTGCTCAACTGCGGACGCGTGGCCTCAAACAGAGAAGGCTCAGCTCGTGATCGTGATCGTTCTCTCATCACTTGTTTTGCCGGTCGGCGCGGGCCCTCGCAGCGCCCCCTCCCCTCCCTCTGGAGTAGATCCTGGCTGTTTTTGATTCCTGTTTCGAGAAGGTGGAGTCTCCCCCATGGGAAGCACTGGTACAAGCAGTCGCACTAAGCAGAGGTCCAGGGCCAGACCTCCCCCCCACTTTGCTCCCAGTATCGAATCGCCGAAGAAGACAACGCTCACATTCCTGTTCTATCCTCGGGGCCCCATTTCTGAATTGCCGAGATAGTTGGGAGAGGAGCGCCGCGACCTGGGCAGTTCCCGCGGGCACTCGCCAGTGGACAATGTACATAGTCAGGTCGCTCTTGCTGCTCGGTCCACCTTTTCCTGCCCCCCGTGGTCGTCTTCCTGATATGTGTCATCCTTGTCGTTCTCGTCTTCGTCAGCCAGCACGAGTGTGTCCTCCTCACCATCTTCACTCTCCTTGGCCTCGTCGTCGTCGCGGTCATTATCTTCATTCTCGCCACCACCGTAACAACCAGTGAGTTTACTTTCCTAAGCCCCCTGGTTAGTCCAATTCAGCCTTTTTCTTTTCATACTCATTCTCTGCACCCGATCCCTCCTCTACATCAGTCCTCCGTCCTACTTCCTCCATGCTATTGTTTCCCGTCCTCTCATCTCTCTGATTATATCAGCTTCTTCACTGGCATCTTCTGTCTTCTGATCATCCTCATCCTGGGCCTGCTACGCGCTATCCAACCTTTTCTCCTCCGGTGTCTCAACATCATTCCAATCCGTTCTCTTTCTACGTCTCCTTCCTTGTAATTCTCAGTACTTCTTGGCTTTACTCTTGATGCTCATCCTCGTCCTCCTCCTGCCCTTTCCAATCTCCCTCCTGCCAACCTCCGCCTCATCCTCCGCCTCCTTCTCCTCTTTCTCCCCGTGTCGTCCCCCTCCCCCTCCCCAGCTCCTCCCTTTCCTCCTGCCGACTCCCTTCGACGCCCCGCTTCGCGCCAGGGGGGCACCTCCGCCCCCCCCCCCCCGCAGCTCCAGTGGAGGCCCGCTCGTTCCGCCCCGGGCCGCCCTGCCCTGGACGACTCTCCGCCCGCAGCTCGCACTTCAGCTCAAATCGGGCCCGTCACTCTCCCCCACAGAAGGGAGATCCAAAAATAGTAAAAACCATAGTCTGGGGACGATGTTTTGAGTACGTTTGTTTATTTTTGAGCATGTTTTTGAGTACGGTTTTTGAGTATGATTTCTGAGGGGGAGGGTGGGGCCTCATTTCATTCGGGAGTTCCCGAACGAAGTGAACCCCACCCTCCCCCTCAGAAATCGTGGGGGTGGGGGTGGGGGTCAAGCTAGCCAGCTCGAGCGAGTCAAGCATGGCATGCCCATTCCCACCCGCCCTCCCAAAAAATAAGAAACAGTGATGGCACAACTGGGGGCTGCGCGGGCATTTCAGTGCGAGTGGAGGATACCCCAGGACACCGCATTGACGTCCGCGCGGGATGTGCGCCGCGTCCCATTCCCGCCACGCATTTCGCATCGTCGACGACAAGACTGGCCATGTTGAAAGGAACAACGGACACGTTCCGCCCTCCCACAACATAAGAAACAATGCTGGCGCAACTGGGTGCTGGCGCGTAGTAGTAGTAGTAGTAGTAGTAGTAGTAGTAGTAGTAGTAGTAGTAGTAGTAGTAGTAGTAGTAGTAGTAGTAGTAGTAGTAGTAGTAGTAGTAGTAGTAGTAGTAGTAGTAGTAGTAGTAGTAGTAGTAGTAGTAGTAGTAGTAGTAGTAGTAGTAGTAGTAGTAGTAGTAGTAGTAGTAGTAGTAGTAGTAGTAGTAGTAGTAGTAGTAGTAGTCGTAGTAGTAGTCGTAGTAGTAGTCGTAGTAGTAGTAGTAGTAGTAGTAGTAGTAGTAGTAGTAGTAGTAGTAGTAGTAGTAGTAGTAGTAGTAGTAGTAGTAGTAGTAGTAGTAGTAGTAGTAGTAGTAGTAGTAGTAGTAGTAGTAGTAGTAGTAGTAGTAGTAGTAGTAGTAGTAGTAGTAGTAGTAGTAGTAGTAGTAGTAGTAGTAGTAGTAGTAGTAGTAGTAGTAGTAGTAGTAGTAGTAGTAGTAGTAGTAGTAGTAGTAGTAGTAGCCCTGAGTCGCCGAAAGATCGTTCCAAGACGCCCAAGATGGCCTCCAGACAGCCGTAGCGCCAAGAAGCCGCGGGGAGCTTCAGGAGGCCCTCCAAGAGCCTGAACAAGCAAAAACCTCCAAGGCATTCGTCACCCCAGGGCCTCCTGGAACGCCCGGGTGCCCAATGAATTGGCGAGCTAAAGACGTGCGCCGAGCCAAAGCGCGAGCGCAACTTTGGGAAAATGTTGCTCGGCGCCCAAGCGAGAAGGTCATTTCATTCACTTCGAGCGGGGGGGGAAGGGGGTGTGCCGCGCCCAACTCTTGCCATGCACTTTTGCGGGGTGGACGACAAGAACAGCTATGTGGGCAGGGAAAATCAGCATGGCATTGTTTCTGACAAGTAAGGTGGCCCCTCCCGCCTTGGGGTTGCCCCAGAAGTCCGCGCGCGATGTGCGCCGCGCCCCATTCATGCCACGCGTTTCGCATCGTCGACGACAAGACAGGCCATGATGAAAGGAAAAACGGCAACTCTGTATTGTTTTTTACAAGCCCGCGGCCCGCATGGACGTCCGCGCGCGATGTGCGCCGCGTCCCATTCCTGCCACATTTCGCACCGTCGGCGACAAGGCAGGCCATGCTGAGAGGAGAAAACGGAGACTTTGTATTTATTTTTTTACAGTCACGGTGGGCGGGCCCGGATTGACGGCCGCGCGCGATGTGCGCCGCGTCCCATATGTGTGCCGCGTCCCACTGTTGCCACATATTTCGCACCGTCGGCGACAGGGCAGGCCATGCTGAGAGGAAAAAACAAAGACTTTGTATTGTCGTTTTGTAGACAGGATTGGCGGGCCCAGATTGACTGCCGCGCGCGATGTGCCCCGCGTCCCATTCCTGCCACGCTTTTCGCATCGTCGACGACAAGAAAGACGATGTTGAGAAGAAAAACGGCAACTTTGTATTGTTTGTTGTTTCAGTCTGGATGGGAGGTCCCGGATTGGGTTGCTATCGGCCGGAATACTACTAGGTGGGGGTATATAGTATCAGGGAACAGGGATTGAGGTTTATTTTTAAGTTTTCGTCCAGAATCCGCCTGTAGGGGGACGCGCCCGACCTAAACCTAAGATCTTTCTACCATCCCCGGTCAGAATTCAGGTCACGCCGGCGAGTTTCGGCCGCCTGCGATTCGAGCTCGCGGCGCCAGGCCCCCTGACGGCAGTCGCCACCGCCCATCAGACCGCCCCAGCCCAACCCGAAGGCCCCGATATGCCTTCCATGTCCAGTGGGGGAGGGGGTCGGGGCACATGGACAAAACACACGTGAAGCCCATACCCCCCCAACCTATAATCCAGGCGAAATTCGGGTTTTCGGGTCGGTATGGGTTGGCCTGGTAGGTATGGTCACCAACGGCAGTCGTGTTCGATCGCGCCGCCAACTTTTTGGTCGCCGCGCGGGTTGCGACGTTCCCGGCAGTTGTCGCGGGCGCCAGCGGGACAAAAAGAGGGATGCTGCGCACAGGCGTGTTGCTGCGCCCCCCCGCCGTTGCCGCCGCTGGCGCCGCCGCCCCGATGCCTCTCTCCGCACTCCGCTCCTCGCTCCCCTCCTCGCTCCGCTCATCGCTCCGCTCCGCTGCACCCTGCTCCCCCTGTTACGATTCGAAGGAAAAAGAAGAGGATCGATACTTATGATGGTAAGAACAAGAATGAAAATAGTAATTTCAATCACTAAACTAAAAATATTAATCGTACTCATTATAATATAATAGTAACCATCACTCTAAGAAGAAGATGAAGAAAAAGAATAATAAGAAGAAGAAGAAGAAACGGTATAACCCCGCTCGGTCGGAGGCCCGCGTGAGACGAGACATCCGCGCGGACCGCCCCCAAAGCCAGTGTTTCGGCATATTCGAGGAGGAGGAGGAGGAGGAGGAGGAGGAGGAGGAGGAGGACGAGGAGGACGAGGGGGGCAGGGAGGGAGGGAGGGGGGCAGGCAGGGAGGGAAGGACGTCTTCTTCATCACTCAACCTCCGCTCCTCTGGTGACCTGGGCCTGCCCGTCCCGGCATTGCTCCTCTCGTCCTGGCGCGGCGGGCCCGGGCAGGCCATGACGCTGCGGCCGGAGCGGCCGACGCAGCTAATGGCGGGCGCCTCGGTTCGGCTTGGGCCCACACCCGGGAGGAGGCACGCGCGCGCCGAGCCATCCACCTGCATCAGGCGATCGCACGCATGGATGAAAGGGGGGCGTGGATTAGCGTCGGGTCCTGCCCCCATAGGAAGTCGCATATTTCCGCCGCCGAACGAGGCGGCACCAGCCGCGCAAAATCTATGGATCGCTGATCCATGTTTGCGCGCCCCCGCTTGTAGACATTGTGCATGTTTCTGCCGTGCCGTCCCTTCGACTCTTTCATCTGCTCTGGTTGGCAGTCTTAGTGCCGCGAGTTGCCTGGATGGGATCGGAGTTGACAGTGGCGAGGTAATCTTCCGACTGGGGGGCCGAGGCGTTGCCCGGCCGCCTTCAGACCCCGCGGTTTGCTTTCTGGGTTCTCTGGGCAGGGTGGGGCTGGGGGAGGGAGGGACCACTCTGGCCGGTCATCTCCAGGCAGCAGAAATGGCCCTGGACTTCCATCTCGAGGATGTGCGCTGTCGCAGAGAAGCGCTCCAGCGGGGGCACCGCCTTCGAGAGATTGAGAAGTTGGCGTCTCTGCCTCGGCGAAAGGCTGGCGAGAGGAAAACGGCGGCGGGTCCGCTGGCGGATCCGCGGGCGGAAGTCAGACAGCCGCCTTTCTGTATCTGTTGCGACGCCTCGTTGCGTAGCTTCAAGGGCTTTCGCTCTCGATGTGAACAGCTAGTTGTATGTCGTGCGCCGATTTGCGGTAGTTGTATGTCGTGATCCGATCTGCGCCGATCAGCGCCGTGAAAAGGGAAAGGAGGCGCCCCCCCCAGCAGGTGACAAGGTTTTGGGCTCAATGTCTGGAGGAATCGGCCACCTGCACAAGCCAGTGGGGGGCCATGCCAGGAAACACCCTGCTTGCCTCCAGGGTGCCCCAGGCTTCTTGGGCTTCGATGGTCTTGCAATGGAAAAGCGTGACGTTCCCACACCAGAAATCGATGGACGTCCTGTGGTCTCAGGGTTAAGTCGGGCCTGTCTCTCTACAGGGGGGAAATTCAGAAATCGTCCAAACATAGCCTGGGGACTATGTTTTGACTATGTTTGAGTATTTGAGGGGTGTTATTTTATTTTACATTTTTCGCCCAACATCCCCCTGTAAGGAAACACGCCCAACTCAATCTCAGGGTCGGGTTCTCTGGGGAAGGCTTCTTGTGGTCTCAGGCCCTTCTGCATACCGGAGCTGAGGGGGCCGACGGCTTCGCACCGTCCCTGGGCGCGTGGCTGCAGCGGGTCCTCTGCGGCGCGGATCCTGTCTGCTGTTGGTGTTGCTGTTGCTGCTGTTGCTGCTGCTGTTGCTGCTGTTGTTGTTGCTGTTGTTGCTGCTGTTGTTTGTGGTGTTGCGTCTGCTGCTGTTGTTGCTCTCGCTGCTGTTGTTGTTGGCGTTGTTGGTGTTGTCGTTTGTGTTGTTGCTGTTGCTGCTGTTGTTGGTGTTATTGCTTTTGTTTTTGTTGTTGTTGTTGTTGGTGGTGGTGTTGTTGTTGTTGTTGTTGTTGTTGTTGTTGTTGTTGTTGTTGTTGTTGTTGAATTTTCACTTCTGAAGAATAATTATTGTTGATCCCCCCTCACCGGTGCATGCTGTTTTTCCCAATCAAAGTGTGCCCCTCGACGTTCGCACCCTGTTTTTTGACAGGGAAAGTCTTGATGCTCAAACTGTGCCCCTGCCCCCCCGGATTACAGCAACAACGGCTCCCGCCTGAGACCTCCGAATTTACTTAGGACCTCTGCTCCCGCTTGAGAATTCGTTACAATTTCTCAGGATCGGTGCTCCCGCCTGTGACTTTCTCGCAATTTAGTCAGGACCCCCGCTCCCATTAAGACTCCCTCACAATTTACTCAGGAACGGCGCTCCCGCTTGAGACTTCATCGCAATTGAGTCGACACTTCTTCGCAATTTAATCAAGACCCCCGCTCCCGCCAGAGAACCCCTCACATTTTATTCAGGAATTGCGCTCTCGCCTATGACTTCGATGCAATTCATTATTCAGACATCGCGGTTTCGACGCTCAGCAAACACGCTGCGCCAAGGACGCCGTCACAATTTACTTAGGAATCGCGCTCTCGCCATACTCAGGCATCCCGCTTGAATGTCCCACCCGCCCGACCCGCCTGTCAGGGGGTTGCTTGCCCGTCGTGGGCTTCCGCCCGAGACTTCCTTCAGGAACGGCGCTTTCGTCTAGGACGTCCTCGAACGTTCACGCTCTTACCTTCCTGCTCCTCCGCCCTCTCCCTCCTCCCTCCTCTCCTCCCTTGTCTCTCCCTCCTCTCTTCCCTCATCCTTATTCCTCTGCCCTATCCCCTCTCCCTCCTCTCCCCCCTCCCTTCTCCCTCCCCTCTCCTGCCTCCTCCATCCCTGTTTCTTTTTTTTCCTCTCCCTCTCTCTCTCTCTCTCTCTCCCCTCTCTCTCTCTCCACCTCTCTTCTCCGTCTTTTTCTTTCTTGATTTATTTCTGTCTCTCTCTCTCTCTCTCTTTCTCTCTGCCTCCAATCAACCGCCCCCTCTTCGCTCCTTCTCTCCTGGCGTTTTCCCTCTTCCTTCGTCCCTCCCCCTCCCTTCCTCCCGCTCTCCCTCGTTCTCCCCCTCCTCTTTCTGCAGGGCCCACACCAAGTCCAATGGCGGGCACATGTACGCCCACGAAGGATTGTCCGCCCGTTCAGTGTTGCCCGCCTGTCTGAGCCCGCCGCCCCCCGCAGAGAGAACAAATCCCACCAAAGGGGGCGTGATCGAAAACAACAAGGGCGGGTATCGAGGGTGTGGGGAACTCGTTTTCAATGACACACGGGCAATTGAGAGCGAACAGTCTTATAATGATTCTTGTTGTTGCTGCTGTTGTCGCTGTCGCCGCCCTCGTCCGCGACCCACCCGCGACCCACTCGCGACCCGCCCAGCGACCCAGTACAACGTCTTCCCCTTCGCCGCTGGGTCAAGCAGCATGCCGCCTCGAATAATCATCACACAGCGAGCGGGAGCTCCATGCATGCATGCTCCCTTGCAAAAGCCTTCTGGGAGCTTGTTTTCGGGACCTTCGAGTTCGTCTGAAGTCGGGCCTGCCTCTCTACAGGAGAATTATTCCCAAATCGGCAAAAATGAATGGGGACGATGTTTTGACTCTTTTTGCCCATTTGGGGATATTCTTGGACTATTTTCCACTTTTCGTCCAACCTCCCCCTGTAGGGGGACACGCCCGACTTACAATTTGTCTTGTGGGGCCGTTCTGCTCAGCCGAGGCCTCAACTCACCCACGCCGGTTCTGCCGAGCCTTCGGCGCTTGCGGCGGGCTCGCCGTGTAACGTGTAGGGATCTGCGCCTGTGGTCGGTTTCTTCTCAGAGCCTCACAGTGTGCCGTTCGACCCGCCGCCCCCCTCATTCGCATCGGCAACTGCGGGTGCGATGGTCGATTTGTCAATATCGAGAGAGAGAGAGAGAGAAACAGAGACATACATATATATATATATATATATATACACATATACATATACATATATAGATGAATAGGGAGAGAATCAGAATAACGATTTGCGTAGAACGAGAGGCGGACATAGAAATCATGTGCGTGTGTAGAGAGATAGAGAGAGAGCGAGAGAGAGAGGGCGAGAGACAAACAGCGAGAGAGAGAGAGAGAAGCAGACAGAAAGACAGACACATAGGCAGACAGACAGACAGACAGACAGCGAGAGACAGAGAGAGAGGGGGAATCAACAACAGCAACAGCATCAGCACGTGGACGTGGAAGCAGAGACAAGGGATGGAGCCGGGGCAGGGGCGGAGGCGGAGGAGCAGCAGACGGACGGACATGGAAAACGAGGAGTTCCCCGCCCCTGGCGCACCTTCTGGCCGCCTCGCCGCCTGGTTGGGCACACCCAAGCGACCTCCTCCCCTCGCGGATGATGTCTCGCTCCTGGCCTCCCGAGCTGCCCCATCCCCCAGAAGAAACAAACCATCTGCTGATCGCAGCGGCCAGCGGACGCCGAGCGCGGTCGGAGGGGCAGAGCGGGACTCCTCCTCCTCCTCCTCCTCGTCCTCCTCCTCCTCCGCCTCCTCCTCCTCCTCCTCCTCCTGCTCCCTCTCCACCTCCTCCTCCTCCTCCTCCTCCTCCTCTTCCCTCCTCCTCCTCGACCCCCCCTCTACCTACCTCCTCCTCCTCCTCCTCCTCCTCCTCCTCCCTCCTCCAACTCCTCCTCTCCTCCTCCTCCTCCTCCTCCTCCTCCTGCTTCTCCTCCTCCTGTCTCCTGCTTCTCCGCCTCCTCCTCTCCTCCTCCTCCTCCTCCTCCTCCTTCCCATCCCCTCCTCCGCCGCCTCCGTTTCCTCCGTCTCCTCCCCTTCCTCCTCCT